GGCCCTCTCTGTGATTCCTCCCCCCCTCCCCCCCGCCCCCCGCCCCCGGCCCCCCCCCCCCCCCCGCCCCGCGCCCCGCCCCCGCCCCCCCCCCCCCCCCCCGTACCTGTTATGGCGACTGTTCACTATAGCCATGTACTAGTAGTACCAATGTAAGTGACCAAATGACTACTGTTGAGTGGTATGTATCATATGAGATATTCTAGCAAATGCGGTGTATATAGCTCCTCTACATGTATGAATACCAGGTACCTTAGTATGTAAGTGAAGCATCACTTTCACTCAACCGGGCTGTTCCTAGCCGGTATTAATGATTAAAAACCGTGGTTCCCTAGCAAACTGCAGAACCTCAAGCACTGCTAAAGGTAACTGGTTATTGAACCTACCTTAGTTTACTACTAATATGCTTATTGGTATATAATACACCTTTCAGTGTGGGCGGCTAAGAACAGGTACATAGAAAGAATTAAGATAGCAACATCGGCAACATAATCAAAGGCCAAGGCTCGGTAGTCCCCGAAATCATCATCTTGTAGGTACCTAGGTATGCTTCATCCATGTTCTGGAAGATACCTATGGTAAATTCCGGCTGAAATGTTTCGAAACAGATCGTCCGGGAGTTAATAATTTACGCGATCCCAGAATCTTTGGTGCGCGGCCGTAGTTTTCCCACGCCCGCATAACGGGCGAGCGCCGCGACGCGACCTCGTGTGCCCCTAGTCTTGTCGTATCGAAAGCCGCACTTAGTTTAAGTCGTCGGGGTCTATATCACCACGACTTCTCCTCCCACTTCGGATTTGCTGTCTTTTTTTTTTTTTTTTTTTTCATGACTCAAGAACGTAGTTCAGCATTCCTACAAGGTTATTGGGCAAATATAGCTATTCTTTAAACATGGTCGGGTTCTCGTAGCCCGTGGTAAACTGGGAGCCCCAGCTAGCGGCAAGCGGTTTGTTGTCGGGGGCGCTTAGAAGCTTCTTATGTATGGATTCCACGTGTACCGGAATCGCGTCTATTTCGTGTTAAATTCGTGCGTGCAGGAAGCCAAGCGCGATGTGTGGAGGGAGAGATTAGAGGGAGCATTAGACGGAGGGTTACGGAAGGTTACAGGTAGGTAGCGTGGGTTGTCAGCCACTAAACTTTTTACTATATTACTTGTCCTTGATTCCTATCGGTTGAAGAAAGCGTTACACAGGTGGTACATTGTATACCTCATAGTGTGTACCGGTCCGTTTCGTTTATCAAAGCCCCCGCAATCCGGCGCTTCTCTCAATTCTTTTCCTCCCCCCACAATGTTTCAACCTCTCCCACTGGATGACATGTTTTGACTGGTGAGACAGTTGCAGCTGTTCTGCATCTAGCACCATGCAGGTCACCTCTCCATGGACCAGTCATTTCTTGCATCGCGGTTGATAATCACTATCGCGTCTGCTATTTGCTGCGTTCCCGACCTCTTCGCACTCCACGGCTGCATGGCGACGTGCAGATTTGCAGATTTGCAGATTTGCAGATGCACTAACCTCGTGAGAATGACTCACTTGCCAACCATTCCCAACAAGTCCGGTCTTTCTGATGTTCTTGGATTAATCTTAGGTATAGATTTGGAGAGCCTTGAGGAGAGCCTCGAGGAGAATATCCCGTTGAAAATCGAGAGGTAGCACGAAAAAGTTTGTCTGACCAGGGGAATATGTCGAAAGGGTATAACATGCGCCTCAGGCCTTCACCAGGTCCGGTTGGGCTGCGACCAACTTGTGTCTTTTTTCAGAATACCAGCTGTCAACTTTCATTGACTGAGCCATACCTGACTCTATCAATACGGTTGCTGTCGCTGTTTAAGCAGGATCGCAATATACAAGTGTCGCATAAAACTGCGAATAACCTCACTTCAACATCTTGTGCTTACAGCGCTGCTTTATGATCATATATTTAGACGAATTATCATTATTATTACCTTTCAACATTATCCTCTTCCTTAAATAGGTACCTACCTACCTAACCTACTTACACATATACCCCTGATTAGACATCAGTTGTATAAGTTTTGAAGTGTCTATACCGTCTTTGTGACCATAGTCCGCTATTAGGACTTCCGCGATCTAGCAATTTCCCCTCAATAACACTTGCCTTAGCGATATGCGAGAGCTATGGCAACAGGACCGCAAGCTTTCTATTGCCTATGGCAAAAGAAGGTTATCCGTGAGAAGCTCTTCCAATTATTATCAAAAGAAGATATCTGCAATGTTCGACTCTCATCCTCAGCATGCTGCAATCTCGTTACCAAACGGCTATTTCTACGAACCCACTTGACCTTCACCTCCACTACTTTCACTCGACAGAGCAGAATCGAAGCGCTGTCGAGGATAGGCCATCATATAGAACATCTCACCTTTTATTTCCCGCACTCAGAAACTACCTTCTTAGCTCCCCTAGTTCATCCCGAGACAGGGCGTGAGATCAGCTTCCTTTACAAGCCTCATACGTCCATGGCGTCTGTCCTGGAAAGGCCTAAGTTCGCCAACTCTGGGCTTGGTGAAATCCTTACAGAACAGTATCCACCACTCTTTCATGCCGCATCTAACGTTCCATCTTTCATCAATGCGATGAAGCACTTGCCCAATATGAGGCACCTTACCATCAGGACGCCTGGCCAGAATCCTAAGGAAAGGTACCGGAGAGATATTGTCGACTATGCGCTTATTAGCCTCCGAATATCTCTGGAACGGGCTCCGATGAAAAGGCTCACCAAGCTTTCGCTATCCTCTGTCCATCCCTCTGCATTTATCTACTTGCGACATGTTATAGGATTTGGCTGTCTACCATCAGCTGCTCGGAGATGGAAGCAAATCAAGAAATTGAACATCTCTGTTGAATCATGGGACTTCTATGGGCCGTCGCCTGGACTCGATCATCTGAAGATGATCGATGATTACATCCGCGACTTTTCAACGAGCTTAGAAAAGTTGACATTCAATTGGTTGGGCCGAAAGGGACCATGCCCATTATCACTTGCGGCTGACCCCTTATTCGCGCCGCCTCGCAGTTCACAGAAACTTTTCAATGAAGTTACTTCGCCTATGTCGCCATTACCCCCGGCGCCCTCCAGGAAGCCTATTGTATTCCGGAAATTACGTTTTATGGCTGTTCAGAACGCCACGATGAGCTCTTCGCAAGTAGCAGATTTGGTCGCGACGCATCGACACAGCGTTCGCGAGTTCGACTTTGAAAACGTAGTTCTAATCAATGACGGTAGCTGGGATGATGCACTAGCCCCTCTATTGAACAAAGCATCCCGTGGTAGCCGCTGGATCCGACAGTCAATGGCTACCATCACTGAAGATGAAAGTGTTCATTCGTTGGACCTGGCAGAAAATTTGGTAGACGATCTCTCGGCAGATTCGCCAGCTGTTTCGGCAGCGTCGCAAGAGCTTCTAGCCCTTGATCTAAATGGAGGCGAAGGTGAAGAAGAAGAAGAAGAGGATGATGATGAACTAGTAGAGCAAAACGATGAATATGATCTACCCTCCGATCTAGAGGCTGCTAGGCAAGCTAGCCTTTCGTTTCCAAATAAACTTAAGAAGCGCAAAGTTACAAAGCGTCGTCGAAGAAGGAAGGATACGCATGAATCTCGCGAAGATAATAAAAAAGAGTCTCACAAGCGACATCATCACCGGAAACCCTCCGAAGACTCCATTGACCAGCCTAGTGATGAACGTCGGCGTCATCGGCGCCACCGACATCAGAAACCCCAAGAGTCCTTTGAAAGGCAGCAAGAGAGTCTTAGTTCTGGTCAGAGTAGTCGGCCCTCGGATGAGTTTCCTAGCTATCCCCACGAGCCACCGCCAGTGTCCATCTCACCGCGAAGCTCTCGTCACCGCTTGTTTGGCGAGATCGAGAGCGTCTGCTCAACATCGTCACGCCGCCTCTTTGGCGAGGTGTCGCTACTCATTAACTCCGGGTCGGAGCCGGAGCTCTCACACTCCCCTATTGACGACTCGGACTCGGTCGTCGACGAGTACTTCCGTCCTAGTACGCCTACTACTACGCCGATGGACATCTCGGCGCCTATACTTAACACGGCGCCTAGCATGCCTATATTGCTAGAGCCTCACGTGTACGATCCAACTGCGGAGCTGTGCTGCGAGATCACGGCCGTGCAACGCGATATCGAAGCGGAAGAAGCGCAAAGGCGCGTAGCCGAGGATGCGGAGTTGCAGACGAGCGCGTTGAAGAGGGCGAAAGAGCTCGTGCTGAGTCGCCTGGGTCGGGAGTTCTCGTCTAATAATAGTAATAGCAGCAACGGCTTCGGGAAGAGGGGCGTCGCGGGTCCTAATAAAAAAGAGAGTCTGGGCGCGGGAAGTTTCCTCAGCAGCGCGAGGTTCCGGGAGGGGTTGTTTGGGAAGAGCACGTCCAGTGTGAGTGGCACCTTGCTGTCCATACAGGACCACAGGAGCATGGATGTGCCAATCTTGTTTAGTCGGAGTTAATGATACCCAATGAGGAAAAGGGGGACCGGATGTATTAACATAAGGTATGATTTGATGTGCTTATGACTGTGATGATTTATGACTTATTACTACTACTATTATTATTACTTATACGATCGCTTGAATGAAAACTATATTCCTTTTGCTCATATAGCCGTATGCTTGTGCCGATGGTCGTTGATGTTGTCTGTACACCTGTATTCAAATATGAATTGGCGAACTTTAGGTAAGTTCATGTTTCAGCAACTTACAAGTGACTCGACACTATCATGAAATAGTTTCCTAGGACGACACCCCCTTCTCTGGTACCTTGCCCCATGGTGGCGTTTATACTAGTATGAGACAAGTTCAGTAAGCTTAGAGAATATTGGATATGCCGCCATCTCTGATTCTGTCGAGTAAATCATCTCTCCTTTTCCAACTCTTTTTTCTTTTTGTCCCTCCTCTCCGGGAGATATACTGCAGAAAACCAGGCCGTATCCCGTTCTTCTTAACCCTTAGAAATGGGCCCCTGCCTCTCCCTACTCGAGCGCCCGCCACTCTATCCCAAACGTCTCAAAGAGGATATATAGGCCCGAACGCCATGATAATAACATCAACGGTATGAGATATGCTATATATGGCAGGCCCATGCTCAATCTCCCATAAGCGATCATGAACTTATATGTCTCATCAGTTATCTCGCCCTTGTTTTCCAAGGTCTTCCCCGCCTCGCCCAGCAGCATGTCCGACCTGCGATCGAACTCGCGGCCCCATCCGGGCTTCTTGATACCGTCGAGCAGTTGTCGGTGCCAGAGGCTATGGATGCCGCGGACGACGGGGCTCAAGTCTGCGCTGGCGCCGAGGGGGTTCTTTTCGGCCAATTTCTTGGAGCCGTCTTCTACCGTGTCGTACCATGGCTCGAAGGAGTTGTTCGCTGGAGAGGCTGGTAGCTGAGACTGAGTGCCTACCCTCTTAAGTCCGTAGATTAGCGGCTCGGCTATCCCGGCTTCGGTTATTTGGGGCTTGGCCATGTGGTAGATCTCCCAGGTCCCAAAGTGACGATGTTAGAAATAACTCAACCGCTCCTTTTATGATAGGATTTCTAGGACTTTTTTAAATGGCATCCCCGAAATGTCCATAAGTCATGGCGGAAGAACATGCCATACCCAAAACTGCGGGTACTTGTTGACATACAGCTCGAGGGTCTCGAAATACGTCTGGCGGGCTCGAGAGAAGCTGTATGCTGGCGAGCTAGATGATACGCGTCCATCTTCGCGGTTGTGCATTCGTGCTCGGCGATGACCCCTGAAGATCTCGCAGAGCGTAGATGATGAGATAGTGGATGTTGTCCGCATGTATTGGGTAATATCATCGAAAGGGGGATATTGAAGACGAAGTATGTTCCGCGTCTCCCCAGTTAGGATATCAACATGGAGATCCATTATATCGTTCGATACGGCACTCCCGAGAATCATGCCCATGCCCTCGTCATCCAAATACGTGGCTCCATCCCGGCACATAAAGGCAGAACCCGCGGTATCAAAAGCCCGAGCCGCAATGACTACGTCGTCGTCCAAGTCATGTTCAATCGGTGCCTTTCTGGAAATCTTAAAAGGGTTTACATTTTCGCAGCCGTTCGTAGCAAGGAGGTAAGTAAGGGTGATTCGCCAGAATGAACGGTTTCCACCGGATTTGGTGTCGTCAAGGTCAGGCACGGAAGCCCATGCTAATTTTTCGTTGAGGACATGAGGCCCACTAGGAGAGGTGTGTATAAGGAGCACGCTGCTCCCTGGAAGCACCTTCGAGGGGCAAGCGCTAATAGATCACTCTCGGCTAGAATCACAATATTACTTCGTATTAGGTACTCTCATAACGGGTATCAGTCCTGACACGGTAACGCTATGTCTGCGTTGGATATACCTAAATATCTATAAAGAGGCAAAGGCACAATATGGAGCCTAGAGTAACCCTAGATAATGAGGACCATCTATTCAAGAAGTATTCCTAGTAGGGTTATTTTATTACCTTAGGTAAGGTAGGTACCTAACCTACACAAGGTATAACTTATAGAAATCCCCTAAATAGAATATATCTACTTGTATAATCAAGATGCCTATTGAAATATCGATATGATGACCCCTTATAAATAGCATTCGGGCTTTCGTACGATGAAACTGTTTAGTTATTTATGATTAGATAGGTTAGGTACCTACCTACCTAGCTATAGCGACGGAGTTCTATCCCCTTAACCACCAATACACTGGTACACTGCGAAAAATCAATCAATGCGTATTCCATCCTTCTGCTGTAGACTATATTAGGCTTCTTATCCGAGACATGAAGCAGTGGGATCGAGTCAATCAAATATAATGCAGATGATATTAAGCTTTATATATGTCTTCAAAGGCTGCCAGAAGGTTCATCAACATTCTGGCACTAATCCTTTAAAACCAAACCAACGCAATCCCCTATACACCCTATGGACACTTCAGACCCCTGCCGCCAATATGCCGACCCGGATAGGGGTTCTTCTACCATCGGATATCTGTATGGCACGAGGATATGTTTCCAAACACGCCGCGAGTGTTGTGCCCGCCGTCCGGAAGCCGTTCGAATCCGGCAGATACTCAACGCGAAAAGTCAACTATTCCCTTAAGATTATTTCTAACTAGCGATTCCTGGCTAGATGGTAGTCAGGTAATTGTTGATGATAGTAGAGTATTGAGAACAGTTGAATTTACGCGTAGGTCTCACGTATTTAGATGTCTTTAGATTGGCTTGATGCGTTTACCCCTTCGCGATCGCGATCCTACCAAGGTATTGCCTTTCAACCTAAAAGTGCAGGGTGTTACAAGAAATCAGGGGTAAAGAAAAGAAAAATACTTGGCCAATTTTCGAATACAGGTGCCCCCAGCGATTATAAGATGAATTGTAACTTTTATCCTACATTGAATCAGGAATCCTGTGGATAAGTGAGAACTCCAAGACAATAAAGATAATATACGTCCCCAACATTGCCCCTCCAATCCAGCGAGAAGACCTCGCGTTAAACCACACTGTCAGCGTAAAAGCAAGAGTTGCACACCACAGAACTGCTAGCTCGCAAATGGTGACATTCCCATGGTTGAACTCTCCAGATGCGTTGACCATGGTGATCCCCATACAGAGCGAAAGCAGAAAGACGTTGCTTCCTGTCGTGGTAGCCACGAGGATTCCTGCGTGGCCTCGGTGGCCACTGATGACGGAAATGAACTTTTCGGGCAGCGTCGTGGCTATGGAGAGAATCACAACGCCGATGAGAATCTCGGAAATTCCGATCGCGTCCGTGATGTTGATCGCTGCGCGGGAAAGGACAAAACCTGCAAGGCAGACTGCTAAGAAACCGACGAGAAGATAAAATATATGGTACGTTAAAGTGTGTCGGCTTAGATAATTCCTTTGGGACGGCGCGGTGGTCGACGAAGCTCGGCGTAGAAGTGCCTGGGTTTCGTGTGGTAAATCCTCGCCTTCATCACTACTGCTATCATCGCTACTATCGTCGTCTGAGTCTTCCGGGGCAGTAAGGCTGCCCTTACTGATGGCCCAACCTACGGAGATGGTATACATGCCAAACACAGCAATTAAGAAAGAACCGCACGCCAACCAGAGGATCTGATTTGAGAAATAGACGACAGGTGTGACAAGAGTAGTAATGCCGAGCAACACAAGGGAATATATTCGTGAGCTCCTGTCGAACCGAATAGGCTCCTCCTTATCAAAGAATAGAAGACCGAGTGAAAAGGCGCCAAGAATGTTTGAGATAGCGGACCCCACGGTATTAGCCACCGCCAGTGATGGTCGGCCCTGGGCCAGGGCGGATATAACAACAACAAGCTATGATCGAAGATAGTTAGATTGAGAGAAAGGATTACCTATAGGGAGCATCGGTAAACCTACCTCCTCCCATTCGGCACCAGCTGTAAGAAGGGCGATCGCGCTTTCAGGAACTCCTATATGTCGTGCGACGATAGCAGTATGGTCTATGAATTTATCCGCGCCAGACTCGAGAAGGAATAGAGCGCTAAGAAAGGCGGCGACATTGTAAGCAATGTCGGTTCCATCGGCCATCGGGGTCTCTATAATAATAATAAGGCACGTAGTATGTTATGTATTCACCACAGGCGGGATGATCTTGGATCAACAATTTCATATGCTTATTGACAATGCCAAGTAATTCAGTTGAGCAAAAAGGGGTCGAACTTGAGAGCTATGTACATACCTACCTAACGTTAAACACAAGTAAAAGCTTCAGCCGATTTTCGCTTTTTCTAACTCTTTTGAGTAAGGTCTGAATTGGGTTCCGCAATTCCCATCCGGCCTGCCGGCGAGGAACATCAACAAGACCTCCGCTTGGGAGACGGGATTTCGATGACAGTCGGCAGCGGTGGCTTCACGGAAGCCGTGGGCCCGAGCCAAGCCGAGACTACCTACCTAAGGCTGACTATGGAATCCTAGCCCCGGCTTACTTGAGTTGAAAACTTCCTAAAAGGGTGTTAGAAACCTATAATAACTCCCCAGGGGTTAAAGGGAAGAAATATGCCGTTATAACTTACAGAGTATTACATGTGCAACAAGGTACTACGTATATTGAAGTAGCTTTACGAGCAACATGATATCGACTGTGCGCGAGAGGAGAGTATAATAAGCTCACAAGAAAATATAAGTTTTCTCAAGTTTCCAACTCAGTTGATGTTGACATTAGTGAAATATAGCGAACTAGATGCCGTGGCTATACATACCCGTTTTACAAGCTTTTTTTTGATGTCATTTAGCACTTGATGCTGAATTGTCTAAGTCACTTAGTCACATGTAGTTCCTATAACTTTTCCAGGAGTTATTGCTTGAAGAAGTCTAGTCTTAGTCTGGTGTGCTCCATTCTACTCCGTATGATATCTTCACATAGGAAATACATAGAGATACTATTAGTCTAGCATTCATCAAAAGTCTGCTTGGAAGATTTGCATCGTTGTCTCAGGACACCCCGCTCTTAGAATGTTCGATATTGAAAAATATCTGCCTGCATCCCAACCCTATATAAAAACGGGGTGCTACTTAGAATCTCCACATACGGAGCAACTACCTAGTACGGAAAAAAAAATAAGAACACATAGCGGACAAAAATAGATGGACGAGCAGGGAGTTGAACCCTGGACTTCTCGCATTTAGCACCAGAAGATGCGAAGCGAGCACTCTACCACTGAGTTACACGCCCTTTGGTGGGGAAGGAAACAGGAAATCCTACTCCATTTGATTGGTTCAAAGGGTTGATATTAGCCATTATATATCAAAGTCATAAAGGTCATAACCAAATGCCGACACATCTGCACCTACCTACGTCTGTGTCCTCATAAGTTATAACACCACCATCTCGTAATCGATTGGATCTGTACGTAAGTCTCGATATGATATTCAGCTTTGATGCGTACGATTTCGACCTAAGGTAACTTAATAACTTCATAACTAACTTCAAAGTCGAACTTGCGCCTACTTGAACCAACCACGTATTCCAGAATGCATGCTAATTATCGTAAACCAGGCCGAAGAAAGAAAATGATACGATACAGGTAATCACAACTTACGAACAATTGCTTTATTGAAAGTCTCCCTGAAATAAGATAACATGTAACAAAGCTAATAACAGATAAATCAAATATAAGTCAACTGTATTGTCTCTATCAGAAACGCATCGCTTGTTTCTTCATGTTTCGGAATAGCATTGTTGTTACGGTCCCATCTCGTTTCCCAATTATTCCCGAGAACGCACATATAACGAGCGGAATCGCTAACCAAAATCCTCACTACAGCAATCATCTCAGAATCATCCACACCGGAATTCTACGCAACCAGAAAACCTTTTTAACCTAAAGAATCATATCATCAATTTAACAACAATGTCGTCCAAGATTCCACGTATGGGCCGCAATAATATCCCGCTGGAGAGCGACGAGACCGACTCAGACGCCCACAGTGGTGAGGGCCAGGAATGGCAAGAATTGGAGCGACTGTCGCTACCAGACTCGGTCAAGCGGAAACAGGGCGAGATCCTCATGGCCTCAGCCTGGACAGCAAATGTCCGTCAAAGACTCGCCGAGATTGAAGAGGTCGCCCTGGAGGAGTTCAAGAAAGAAAAGCTGGCCAAGCTTGGGGATGCAGTCGGGCATACGGACCACTTCCGCTGGGCTCTTATCGAAGTAGAGGACTGGGGTTTGGCGATGAAAGAGAGTATGCTACCTGATGGAACGCCGATGAAGTTCAGTAAGTACTTCCTTACGAACTTGAAGGCTGCCGTCGTGAAGAGTGAGGCTGCCATGGCCCTCGCTAAAATCGCGCTCAAAGCTACTCTCGATGTCGGATATTTGGGAGTCGTCGGCAATTTTCCGTTTGAACTTATTGGAGCTCCGTTCTCACAACTGGCACGAACCCACGCAGACCTCGCGAGGGACCTCAAGGCCCTAGAGAAGAGGCTCAAGATGTGGAGGGACATTGTCGATGAAAGCGATCTCCCGAGCGCCCCAGGGTCAAGCAAAGACGGCATCTATAAGTATGTTGCGGACGACGACAGTATGGTAAATCCCGCAGATCCGTTTTTCGAGGCGGGCAAAGAGGTTCGGGAAACCCTGACGAGCGAGATTGAGCAAACCATCAATAACGCCCGCACATCCGATGGGAAACCCGTAGATGGCAAGGTGATACTCGATCGCTATTTTAATTATTTGAACCAGTATCGAGACAATTACTGGGCGGATGTGCCAAGGCCTGCGGCAGCTCCCAACCGTGCGCGAGCTCCCAAGCAAAAAAATGCGTTCGGAAAGCCCCCAGCTCCCCAGAGAGAGATGACGCGAGACGAGCGACGGGAAGCAAGACGAAAGGCAGCCGAAGAGGAAAAGGCCGCAAGATATGCGGAACAGCTGCGGCACGTCCGAGTGGAGAGGATCAGAAGAAAGGGTAGGGAGAGACGGGAGAAACAGAGAGACAGGCAGGCCGCGCTAAGGCAGGAGCTCGTAGAGAGGATCGAGCGAGAACGGGAAGAGTCGAAGAAGAAGCGAAAGAGGGCAGAGGAAGGTGCAAAGGGGGAGAGACTCGGATTTTCCACACATAATCCTGCTGACGCGCCGGAGAAGAACAAGCGGGCTCGAACCGAGGAGAAGCCATCACCGAGCCCGAAACCTCCAGCGCCGCCGCCAACGCCAAACAGACCCGTGACACCACCGCAAGAGCCGAGTCAGAAAGCAGGGCCGACGCCGCCACCGACACCAGGTTCAAACGTACAGTCACCGAGAAAACTTCCGAAATGGGTCAATACCATCGTGTCGGGTGAGTAAAAGACGACTGTTTGAGTCCTACGGGGACGGTCTTGCCTAGATTCTAGCTATACGGGTAACGATGCTGCATCGCCAGTGATGGCCAGCTTCAGGTACCTGTCATATGTGGGCTGAGATAGATCATGTTTAGATCTCTAGGCAGTTGAATACCACCCAGTGTAATACGATTAGTGATTTTAATGATTTCGTTCATTACTTGCAGTCGTAATATAAAAAATATATATCATTAGAACGATTATTCTAAAGCGTGTGAGGTGGTTAGAAGTAGTGTTTTTTTTCGTGGCCCGACAGAATGCGACGGAGACCCGATTTATTCCCACTATTCGGAATGAGATGCACCATTGAGCGGCTCAAAATTTCCCACGGATTCGAAGTGACAAGCTAAAAGGCAAACTAAGAGGCCGGTCGTACGTCTTGGCACCAACAAGACAAACAGCGGCCGCGTAGTGTAGTGGTTAGGTATGTCTACTACCCTCGAACAACCAGCTTCAATTCTGAGCTAGTTCACTAACAAAGCAAATAGCACGCAGGATTTTGATTAGCATCAAGATTTCCTGAGACCTGAGTTCAATCCTCGGCGGGGCCTGATCATCATATCAGCAATATTTTTTTTGCTCCTCTTCTAAGAAGACGATAATACCTACCTAGGTAGGTAGGAGGTAGGTAACTTTTGGTATGTAAGCCTTTTAGATTCTAGGTCATGTCAAGACAAAGTAGTATGTTCGCCCTTTTTTTCTTGTGTTTACATCTTAAAGATCAAGATCAATACAGTTTTATTGAGGACTCATATCTGATCAAAGGAGGTGGTGTGAATTATGATGATGATACTAAGGACGGATCTTCGGTGGATGTAAATGAATCTGTGGTCGAATTTTGGTGGGAAGTCTGAATTAGTTCGATAAGACTTAAGTATCTTTGTACCCAAGTCAAGTTCAAAGTGTGGCCTAGCTTGGTACATGTACAAGGTACCTATGTTATGTAAACCGTATGCAGTCAGGTGACCTGGTGTCTAAGAGTGTGCTAAGAGTGGGGAAATGTGATTTAATCCTTTTTCAGGATTAGGCTCAATCAATCGCGCATTTTGCACGTAACATCCGCGTACATCCGCGTACATCCGCGTAAAGAGTCCCTCTACCTAGTTGCCGCTTGTGTGGGAACTTGCGAACATTATCCTAGTTTTTGCTTCTTTTATATATTTCATTTGCTTCCAGCAGTGTGCTGAAGCATACCTAGGTATTTATGAGTTCGATGACACTTATTCCGCATAGGTAATTCTGTCACGATGCCAGCGTATGTTAACATCGCACCCATCAAATAAGCCTTATCTATAAACGCGTCTGAGCTGACTGACATGCGACTTAGTCCGGGCGACCAGCATAACGGCATCGTCAACCCTTTTGAGGAGGCCAGACCTCGCATCTCTGAATATACAGCTACCGAAATCGCCACGCTACAGGCACGATTAGAGAAACAACTTGGTCCCGAATACCTTTCCGCCCGTAGTGGTCCGTCCGGCCAGAAGGTTCACTATATTGCCGCCGAGAAATGTATCGCCCTCGCCAATGAGGTTTTCGGATTTAATGGATGGTCGTCTAGCATTCAGAACATCCAGGTCGACTTTGTTGACGAAAATCCGCAAACCTTCAAAATATCGCTCGGCCTATCCGTCATCGTTCGAGTCACGCTACGGGATGGTACTTACCACGAGGATATCGGATATGGTCACATAGAAAACTGCAAGGGAAAGGCGGCCGCCTTTGAGAAAGCGAAGAAGGAGGGAACCACGGACGCCTTGAAGCGCGCACTGCGGAACTTTGGCAATGTTCTTGGCAATTGTATCTATGATAAGGATTACCTCTCCAAGGTTACAAAGATGAAAGTTGGCCCCGTCAAATTCGACGAGGATAACTTGCATCGCCGCTCAGATTTCGCTAAGAAGGAGCCGGATCCTGTGAAGATAGAGCAGCCCAAGAATACCGCGGACAAGAATGTCGAAATGACGGCGCATGGTGGGTTTGACTCCGACGGCATCGACTGGACAGATGCTGATGTTTTGGATTTGTAGTTTCTAATCTGCTTGATGAGGACTTTGGAGATTTTGATATCGCCGACTTTGTCGTTACAGAAGAGGGCCATCCCGACGAGGTAGTATTACCCGGCTCTCACGCAACAAGTTCAAATGAAAAGTCCCAAACTCTACCTCCTACTACTAGCGATAGCGGTGACCGCAGTACACCTACTACAACAGGTAATCCTTCAAGGCCCATGCAGCCGCCCCCAAAGCCTGCCGCACAACCCCCTAGGCAGCCGCAAACACCTACCCAACCACAGCAACGACCAGGGGCCACTTTCCAAGGCCGCCCCAACCCGCAACAACAACCACAACAACATCCCAGACCCGCTCCTCATATTAATAACCAAGTTCAACAAGCAGCAGCTGCCAATAGGATAAGCACGCCCCCGCCAAACAACGCGGCCCCAGCAGAAGTATCATTCTTCTCGGCTCGGTCGATCAAGAAGCTACCGGAAGACGTACCTCCAGATGCTGCGATCATCACAGCACAAGGTGTTAAGCCATTCGATCCTCGCTTAGACAGTCCCTCGATTCGGAAGACGCCGGGCATAGACCACAGCTCGTCTAAGCCGTTATCCAGGAGCGGTCAACACGTCCCTCCTGTTAAGAGAGAACAAGAGCCACAGCGCGGTCCGGCAGGTGCTCCCACCGGTGGCGGCTTCACCGGCGGGGGTGGATCCGGTCCTGGTAGACCGGGTGTAGGAGGCGTTGGAAATCCTGCGCTGAACCACGCGAGACAGATCGGTGCTCCGGGAAGCTCAGGCAGTCCGCTAGGAAATAGAAGCCAGTACCGGCCGCTAACAGTGAAACGACCGGCTCCTACGGGGCCCGAACCTGGTAATAGGGCACCGCTAACGGAAGTGACCTCGAATGGTCCCGTCCAGGGTGGGGGAGGCGGAGGAGTCGATCCCAAGAGACAAAAGATTTCCTAATTAGACAGAACATGGGTTGGCGTCTCGCCCTTCTTTTTCTCTTTCAGTGATCATGGGTTACGATTAAGGCAAGGCAAATGTGTACTTTCTAGGCGGAAATGTTTGGCGTTTGGAGTATATCTGCTAGCTCCGGCTGGAAGAGCCGTACGACTAGATTCGCCACTGCTAGTATTGCGTTCAATTTCATGATTTTAGACTACTAATATCCCATCCCATCGAAATGGATGTGGTAGCATCGAGTTACTAGTTACTTCTCGACCGGCGACTGGCGTTCTTGAGCCATCTAAAATACAGCGTGACTTATATCTTTAAGGGGACTAAGAAGGATCCAATGTGGTCTGATAGGTAGTTGACAATTTCAGCATTTGAGGTATTTGTGTTGTTATCCGAAGTGTATGATATTCTAGTGGGATGCTGCGATATTTGATAGGAAGCGAAAGATGACGGGAGAAGTGAGCAGTTTGCGGCACAGAGCCAGGACGATCCCTCTCCTCCTCGAATCAGTCTTCATTTGTCAAAAGTCCTACCCGAACACCTGAAGAGTTCGGGATACTGATAAGACGGTGACGCAACATGATATCTTAGTCTTTCTCAACACCAACACACCGCTGAGACATATGTAGGTTCCTAACCTATACTATAGCTAACAACAAAGCCCCCACTCTGCCTTGTCCTACGAGAGCTTCGCATGTTTGGTAAATCGCCGACGCTAGGAATAGCTTATCTCGGCTTAGGTACCCAAGGGAAGGCGACTCCCATGCCTCCAACTTCCTTCCTTCCTGCTTGGCTGGCTGGCTGGTAGGTAGGTAGATTAGGTAGGTATTCGTCACGCTATGTACAGTTCGGGGGATACAGTCCGGGGGAGCTGGGTTGCACACATGCGCCCTTCGTTCTTCTATAGGGTTATCCGGCGACGCTGTTTACCCGCGCTCTTTTAACCGCACGAGCCGGGCTAAGAGCTAAGGTCCTTTAGGTTTCTAGATGCCGCAGCTGAGACCGGCGGGCAAAAAAAAAAAAAAAAAACAGTTTCTGCGAGCAAGGTCTTTCCGGAACACGAAGGTCCCGAAACACACCCACACACGCCTACACGTGTATGTGTGGCCCCCAGCGTGGGCCGGTGTGGTAGGTCCCGGCCAAATGGTTTTGAGGGTTTGAGAAGCAACCTCGCCTACAGGAGTGGTGTGTCAGGTGGCTTACTTAAAAGTGCGCGTTGAAGAATCGGGGTGGGGTGTGATCTGACTTATCACGATTCGGTACAGCACCTCCGTGCATGATGACGATGATGATGATTATATCGAGCGTGGGGAGGAGATGAAACTACGAATCTCGACTCGGGCATGGAAATGCAACCAGTCTGCATCGGTACAAAGGGGCTGAGGGGGCGTGGGTAGGTAGCAATACAGGGGTTGAATCTGAGGACAAACCGAGATTCGAGTTCGAGAAGGGCTGCGTATTGTATCCTCTTCGCCACGTTGGTTGTTTGGTTGGTTGGTTGTAAGGTGCTTATGGGAAAATAATATTACCGGCGATGCAACCCAACCCAAGACCGTAGGTACCAAGGTTACGCCGTCGCTGGTATCGAGCCAGAAGTCGTCACCTCGTCAGATGTGAGAAATGATAGAGATGGGTTGGCAGGTTGGCCGCTCTGCTACCTGTTGTTACCTATTGTCCATGGAGTCGGGACTGTAAAGGTAACGGTATGAGGCTTATCATATTCCGGAGCACTTACCTCTAGTCATATCTCACCTTTATTCTGTTGTGCTTTTGTCCATATCTGGCGATATTTTTCAATTTCGTCCTCAACATCCCCTATTCACTACCTTTTTTCCCCCGTCTTTCTTGAATTCGTATGAATTCGTATGCTTTCCAACAGCTTAACATCTATGATCTACATGCCCTAGGTAGTTACCTGGTATTATGGAACTCGTCTTGAGTACCAGGTATTTCTGTCGAATGGCCCGTCAGATCGTCTGAATTATACAATATAAGATTAGGTTAGGTACCTCTTACTGAACTATATACCTCATTATGACAAGTTCTCTACCTCAGATGAAATACTTAACCGAGAATACAGAAATCGAGATTCACCAATATTGAATTTTTTTGGCTTTTTTTATTCGATCGAAGACTTGATGAGCACGATTGCTAGAGTAATTGTATCACCTCAAGATACTTGAAAATGAGAGATAATCGAGGCGTGGGAACCCCGCTAACAGAAGCACACCGACAAGTAAGCTGACAGCGAAAGAAGTATCTTGGGTCTGTCCTACGTCGGAAGCTGCCGGTATAACCAACTTCGTCGTGGGCCTCGAGTAAAGAGAGAGAGAGAGATAGAGAGAGCTTTCTACTTTTCTATCACCATGTTGCACAGTCACAGTTCACACCACAATATTCGGTATAGGTACCTAACCTAATATAATCTAGGAGGTGAGAATGAGAATTTAGGCCGGTGAGGAGGAATCCTGCGGTAAGACATAACCCTTGTTTTCTCCCCCTTTTGTGTCATATGAAGCAGTTCGTAGATCGTATGGGATCTACCAGCCTTATCATTACACTTATCATTACATAGTAGGTATGTATTTCTTTTCTTTTTCCTAGCAGCTTAGCCAGTTAGGCGGTGATGGACCGGAATGCGCATATTCGAGATGGCTTACACGGCATCAATTACGGACCCGCTCTCCTGCCGATTCCTTCGCAGCTATAGGAGGCTTAGCTACGTCCCTCGGGGAATGTATGAGGTACCTAAGACAGTGACATTTAGTGACATTCCATTGCCTAAGGTCCCCGGGGATCCTAAGGTACAATACAATACGCCAGGCAATTGAGTTATCCCATCTGTTTCTTGTCTATTAACCTAGTCGGTTAGGTACCTTGTATGTATGTATGAACATTGAACGGAAAATAAAAACGCATCACCCTGTGATGTCTCTCGAGGGTTACACGTACGGAAAGTGTGGATGTATCATTGGCTGATAGTTAACCTATACGCACACACTATTTCACTCTTACTTGCTTCCTTCCTATCAAGAACTTCGTCGGGGGAAGTCGATCGCGATTTGAGCGACAGAAAAGGACTATCCCATCCCAAGTGTACCGGATATTCGGCCAATTTAGAATATCTACCTCAGGTAGGTATGTGATAGTTCATATTCAGCTACCTAGGGTTGCTGGATCGCATTGCACTTCTGTATAGATGTTCAGTTTACATCATCTAATACATCATCTAACCCCTTCATGTCTGACTACCGGCTTTGAAGGCGGGAAGGGTAAGATAAAGATCTTTGCTGTGGGCTCTTCCGTGTCTGATAATAGGGCCAGCTCCCCCGTTGACACCACCGTCCTTGTGCGACTTCTGAAGTAAACCCAGACGATTCCCCTCCAAAAGCCAGCATCATATCATGGCCGTGCTATCTATTGATAATATCCAGACTCTGAGTCTAGTCGGCGTATCGGTAACCTTAGCATCTTTGTTTGTAACGTGGTTTGTTGTTTCGACCATAGTGTCATGGTACCGCCTTCGACACGTCCCGGGACCGTTCCTCGCATCGTTCACCCACGCGTGGATGGTGAAAACCATACTGCTCAACAAGCTACGGGATGACTTCATCAACCTCACTAAGTACGGGCCCATCGCGCGGATAGCGCCCAACTACATCCTGACCTCGGACCCGGACATCCTGCGGCAGGTGGGCGCGGTGCGGAACAACTACAGCAAGGACGAGTGGTTCGACGCGGTGAAGTTCGCGCCGAACACGCACAGCATGTTCTCCATCATCGAGAACCGGCCGCACGACCAGCGCAAGGCGATGGCGCGCAAGGGCTACAACGGCAGCGAGAACTCGGACCTCGAGTTCGCCGTCGACACCCAGATCGCCTACTTCATCGACGTCGTCCGCCGGAAGCACCTGTCGGCGCCGGGGTCCGAGGCCCGCTACGTCGACCTCGTCACGCTGACCCGCTACTTCACCCTCGACGTCATCACCCGGCTCGCCTACGGCAAGGCCTTCGGCTTCCTCGACGCCGACGAGGACCTGTACGGGTACACCGCCAGCATGGACCGCACGCTCAAGGCCCAGAACTTGTCCCAGGACATCCCCTTCCTCAAGTGGATCGTCTCTTCGCGTCCGTACTACAAGCTGTTTGGCGCGAAGCCGACCGACGAGAAGGGCATCGGGAAGATTATGGGGTAAGTTAGTTACGGCCGTCGATATTCCCGACAGTATTGTCCCTCTTCATGTCCCCCTTTAACTAACCTTTTACACTAGGGTCACGAAGAAGTTGATCAGGGAAAGATTCGAAGACGACAAGCATATCGACGACATGATGGTATGTGTTGTACCTCTATCCAAGCGTCCCTCTCTCTCAGGTACCTACTTTAGGTTTAGATAGGTACCTACCTAACCCAACCTAGGTGCTAACGATGATTACCAGGGGTCATTCATGCGCCACGGCATGACCGAGGAGCAATGCGGAAGCGAAGCCATGATCCAAATTATTGCCGGATCGGACACGACTGCGATAGCCATCCGCACCACGCTGATGTACCTCGTGACCACGCCCCGGGTATACCTGCGGCTCAAGAAGATGATCAAGGAGACCGTGGAGCGCAACGAAGTCTCTACCCCTATTACGTACGAGGAAGCTCAGAAGATCCCTTACTTGAGGGTATGTGCTGTCCATTCTTATCTGGCCCTATCTACCTTGGGTACTTTATAGTGTTATATCCAAAGGCTGACTTCGTCATTTTGTAGGCTGTTGTTCTAGAAGGCATTCGCATGCGCATCCCCACGCCCTACGGACACTGTAAGCGCATATTGCCAAAACAAAATACCTACCTAACCTAACCTAATCCGTCCCAAGACACTAACATCCAGCAGTTAAGAAAGTCCCGCCAGAGGGGGACGTGATCAACGGAATGTTCATCCCGGGCGGCACGGCGATCGGGCACAACTCGCTGGCCATCACCCGCAGCAAGGCGATCTTCGGCGAGGACGTCGAGGTCTTCCGGCCGGAGCGCTTCCTCGAGTGCGACGAGAAGACCCAGGCCGAGCGGAGCGGCGCGATAGACATACTCTTCGGCAAAGGCCGGTGGACGTGTGCCGGGAAGCCGCTGGCCATGCTGGAGCTTCACAAGGTTTTCTTCGAGGTGAGAGTTTTCTTTTTTTTCTTTTTTTTCTCTTTCTAAACATCTTCTTGATGAGCCTAGCATTGTGCTAATTCGCCTTGAATTTACCTAGTGGCTGCGCGTATTTGACTTCCAGCTGATTAACCCTTGCAAGGGCTGGGACGAAGTATACTATTTCTTCGCGTTCCAGACGAACATGTGGGTGTCAATCACGGAGGCCGAGAAATAACGAACGAACGAATGGATAAATAAATAAATATCAAGTCCTATTTCAACACTGCGAGACGTTTTCGGGATGGATATTTCGGGCAGGTTTTGTTACAACATTCAACATAGGTATGCAAAAATCTTGTTCGGAAACATATCTTCCATAGGTATCATGATCTATAGGAGGTACCTAAGGTAAAACCACTCCTTAGTAAATAAAACTGTAGGCTAGGTACTGTACCTATTCGTGGATTACATACAGGGTTCCCCTGAAATTCTTTCCTATCAAGATGTTATTTGGTGTTGATCTTCTGGGATCGAAATGTTTGATTCTAATGGGAGATAATAATTTTAAGCTCGTAATAAGATCTAGTCCATACCTATTAACACAATACAAACGCAAATCAGAGACCCGAAATGGCATCTGATGAGTAGGACATTTTGAGACATCTTGCACTTCCAGGGCCTTGTATTGTATATACATTCATTACTCTTTTATTTATCTTTCAAGTGTTCGGCGTCCTGTGATTGTACGTCAAGTAACAACACATAAGTCACCCGGCCCATCAGGTATCATTATCAATCCATCTCCTTCGTACATTATGTGATCTTATAGCAGCATTAAGTAGTTTCTTTGCGGTGGCGTGCCTTTTGCCCTCTAACCATGGTATATCCTCCGAATCCTCAAGCTTTTATGTGTCATCATTAAAATATTTCTATGTCAAGAGAGCAGACAAGCAACTGCTGCTTCTGCTAAGAAAACGGAAAGGGGACTTGCTAGTTAGTTCGTCACTTGCACGGCACGATCCACGCACCAACACCGTTTTGGAATTGGGCGGATGGACCAACACCCGCCTGGAGGAACTCAAGCGCAAAGTCTCTGATGCTGCTAACGTGCCAGTTCATCTTCCGCGACCCGTTATAACCGGCGATCCGTCCGCATTCAAAAGTACCGATTATAGTGTTCTCCCCAGGGAACACCTGGTGCAACTCTGTGCTGTTCCACGTGGCGTTGCCGTCGTCGCTCATCAGATGGAACGTCATACCAGAGTTGGCCAGGACCTCTTGCTCCAGGCCGCTGAAGCTGTAGCAGGGGTAACCCTTGGGGAGAGTACTACAGACGGGCATGCGGAACTGCAGGGCGCATAGCGAGGATTCGCCCGTGGCGTTGGTGGGAGGGAAAGTGTCTGGGATGGCGTAGTCGAATACCATACTATAGTTTCGGCCAATTATAACTTCTGCTGAGGTGGCATTACTTCCGCTTGACACTGACGAATTACCGTGGCTTAGTTGATAAGGCGCAAGCGAGGGTGCTGATGGGTCTATAGAACATGCTTTAGACGAAGATTGGCGTCGTAGCGACCGAGTTGGACGTGCTATTTGAAGTGTTGTTCGGTGCGCCGTCTTGGATCGGACTGATAGGGTGGAATTGCTAGCAGTAGCAGAGCAAGCAGCTGTCTGATCGACTAGGGCCAATGAAACTGGTAGACATCCAGATTTATCGGCTTTATCTGAGGAGTAGATGTCGTAGCTTTCTGAGTCAATAGGACATGCGTAGAAGACACCTGGGCTGTTATCATATGTGAGGTATGATTTCCCATCCGGCTTTGGGGATGCAATATCGAATGCTGTAGTTCCGATGGCGCCTTGATAGCACTCGAACTGATAGTCTGGTGCTCGCATAAAGCAATTATGCCCCAGACTATCCTGAATGGTTCCATTCGTCTTGTCTAGACAGAATCCGCCTTGCTGAAAAGTACCGCCTAAAAGCAAGTCACCGACATGGTCCTCCAGCACGGTCTCGTTGACCATTCCAACCGAAGCGAGTTGAAAGCAACAACCATCATTGCCCTGTCTTGGTCGCAAGGCGGCGCCGGCAGCCGTTGTAAATAGCAAAGTTTGAACGAACGAATTCATTATTTCTGGTTTGAATATTTTCTAAGTTTAACGAGTGTAGATTTCAGATTTGAAGTCGTGATGAGTTGTAATCTTTTAAGGTACACAGCCCGATTAAGGGTTAACGATCGGTTCCACAGGGGTTGCGCGTATGACGGCGATGACGTCGTTAGGGCGACTGGGGAAATTAAGATAAACGGCAAGTCGTAAGCCGGTAAGTACTATGTAAGTAAAAAATATTCGTCCTCCCTTCACGAAGACGATAGTAAGAAAGATAGAGAAATAGTTCTAAGAAGAAAAGACGAAGATTGGTTTTTTATTTGTGGTCCAAGAGTTTTGCAATCGTCAAAACTGTGGAATGTTTCTTGTAAGCAACCAGCCTTTTTTTAACTCGGCTGGTTAATACGACGGAAAAAGGAGGCTGACAGCACTAAGAACAATGCAAATGTTTAAACTTGCCTTTTATGCTATAGGATTTATGCACCTACCCGTCCGCCTGAAAATTGGAACTGTTTGAGCAAACAATTTATTCAGTGAAACGTTATACAATCAAGATTCAAGGCGCATTTACCTATCAAAAAAAAGAGTACTTAGCCACAGCACAGTACGCTAAAGAACGTCGGCTAAGACACGATGTTATGGTGTGACACAAGCCATTCCGTACCTGAGATGCGCCAATCGCTACCCGTGGCTGCCGTGGGATAAACTGATAAACTAACTCGTTCCGTTCCCTTAAAAATGAAACCGCGCGAGATTAAGAAAACACTAAGGCTTTGAAGTTTTCAGATGCATGCGAAGCTACTTAGGTACCTAAGCTTATACCTATCTCAAGTTATCAGACGAGTATAAAATTCAAAAGGGGCTGGGCCTGGTAACATGTCAGTCGTGACTTGTCTAAGACAACTTGTACTTCTCGAAAATAATCGTAAGAGTGGTGGTAGTCTAGATGGTGAATCACGTCGGCACCTTCATCTTCGACGGAATCACTCGATTAATCAAAACAATATACTCCTTTCCTGACTTTGGGGTATAAACGTCCACTGAGGACCGTAGCCAAGAGGCCACATTCTAAGACTGAGAAGCACATGAAAAAAGGAAACCCTGTTATACCTAGACCCTATCCAGAAATCCCCAGCGTAGGTATCAAACACTAAAACCTCATAACTCGTCCGTCTCATCATCATCCGAGATCCAGATGGTCATAGACGCCCTCTTATTCGCCGTAGGCAATGCCTCTTCCTTAATCCTTTTTACGTCCGCAGTAAGAGGAGTGGCTTGTTCTACGTCCCGCTTTATAGCTGGCCATCTTAGCTTAATTTCTTCCCTCTTAACGTCCTCTTCGGGTTTAACGTCCTTAATATCTTCCAGCTCAGATTTAGTTTCTTCGGTCTTTGTCTTCACATCGGCCATTTCCGCATCATCTTTCATCTCTCTTGTCGGCTCGTGCTTCGGCCTGACATCTGTCTCGACGATTTCACCCAGCTCCTTGAGCTTCTCGACCCTTTTCCTATAGAATAGGTCCAAGCAATTCCGCCGTTCCTCCTGCGTCATGCTCTCGACTGCCAACGCGAATTCCGTCACGCCGGAAAATCCGAACGTCTTTGCCATTGTGAAGAATTGGCGTTGCCTGACGTCTACCGGGGGGTTGTACTCGTACTCGAACGATTGCTGAGCGGCTGAAAAGCTCTGGCTATCGAAGAAGAGGGTGCAGTCAGGATCCTGGCTAGCAGCCAGCTCTGCCTGTCGAGACAGCTCGTCTTCAACCTTAGACGAGCCGACAACTTCGGAGTTTTCGTGAGTATATTCAACTCCCTCGGAGGCGAGGATTGCTTGAATAGGATCAAAATGTTTCGGCTTATGTGTCGCAGCTGATTTCAAGACACCATCTTTGTTGTCATCCTTTGTAAAGAGGGTAGATAGCTGCTTGAGACCCCCAGTTTCATCATCATCGGCGTTTTCCTCCTTCTTGACGAGCTGGTTTTCAGCGTCTTTGGCCGCCTTCTCCATGTCGATATCTATCAACTTGACGCCTGCTTTGGCTTCCGCAATGTTTGTCTTATTGACAATGTCGCGGAGAATGACTTGGTCACCGTGATATGTTAAAATATTACGGATACCGAAGATCTCTCCCTTTCGTTCGGTATCTTGTTGAACTCCTTTGAAATAGCGCCGCTCATTGGAAGCATTGTATCCAATATTAGCCTGCTGCTGCTTGTAGATCTGCCTTGCGTATGTGATTTCTTCGATGGTACCTGTAGAGATAAGGCGGTAAACTTCCACATCACGAACTTGGCCTATACGATAAGCTCGATCTTGCGCCTGGAGATCATAGGAAGGATTCCAATGCGGATCCATTATAACGACTTTGTTGGCCGATGTAATATTGAGTCCAACGCCACCAGCTTTGGTGGAAATTAGAAACACGAATTGGTTGGGGTCGGAATTGAAGTCGTCGACAACTTGCTGGCGTTCTTCGTAGCTTAGAGACCCATCTAAATAGCTTAGGCTGTAACTCGTGTTATTGAACAAGTTCTGCAGGATTTTCAGTAGCCGAACACTATGAGAGAAGACTAGCACTTTATCACCGCTAGTATGCCAAAGCTTCAGGAGTTTCCTGAGTACCTTCCACTTCCCACAATACTCGGGATTGGACAAGTTTAGTAACGAGTCTCGACTAGTATAATGTCCCTTCCAGGTTTCAGGTGCAGCGGCTCGGAGAAAACGGAGTTCTCGCCTGTGCTTGTCCATAACATCTGAAGTCTGCGGAATGAGAAGACTGAAGTGATTAGATAACTTCTGCAACGATATCATGATGGGGAAAATAAGCGATTTCCAGGACTCCCCGTCGGGAGTGGTTTTGAAGCAGCACCATCCTCGTTTGTCCCCTGAACCACATGGGCACATGTCAAAAGCAGATCGTACAAAGCTGACAATCTCACTGTCGAGTAAGCTTTCGTAGGCCTCGCGCTGTAGACTAGAAAGCGGACAAAACACAACTCTGTCGCTCTTTTTGGGTAGCTGGTGGGCGATCAAGCTCTTCATTCGGCGAAGAAAAAAGCGAGGAAGAAGGTTGAAGCGAAGCTTCTTGGCCGTTTTCCGAGCTTCGCTTAGTTGATGTAAAGTGGCGTCGTGAGATTGGCCAACAGTCAGTGGTTTAGAAATCGTATTCCTCCATTCTCCTAGAGTCCCAAACTGCCCTGGATTTGTCCAATTCAGAAGCGTCCAAAGTTCTTCGTACTTGTTCTGAATCGCTGTCCCTGTCAGACCAATCCTACAAAGAGCGTTGACCTGGTTCATCGCCTGCGTTATCCCGGCAGCAATGTCTTTTATCGAGTGGCATTCGTCAGCCACAACAACATCCCAAGGTACCCTGTTGACCTCATCGCGGCTGTTCTTGTATGTAGTATAGGTAGTAACCATGATTTCCAACCTTCCCGCTCTAGCAGCACCTAGGACGTCATCTCTACCTGCCCCATGATATAGATCAACTTCCCACCATCCCCACCTGTCTAATTCGTTCTTCCAATTTTGAATCAACGATCCAGGGCATATTATCAAAGCACGGGGGTACCAATCGTTTTTCGCTCGTCGGAACTTCCTCATCCTTTTCGCATCGCGACGGTCACCAGTCTTACCAAACATAGCGGTAAGAAAAGCAGCGACCTGCACAGTTTTCCCCAAACCCATATCATCACCTAAGATCCCGCCCTTTTGGTAGACAAAGAGGTAGTGGAGGAACTTGACTCCTTCAACTTGGTAGTCTCGAAGATACTGCGCAATAGAAGCTGGGATAACCCCCGCCGAATGTTCGAGGACGACATCTTTATAGGGCCGACATGGTTTTATACCGCTCTTTTCGTCGAACTGCGGTTTCTCGTCCAGATCGGCCAACCTTTCGTCATCGGAAAAGTAGACATCTGAATAGTCTGGGGGCAGACGTAGCCCAGCTTCACGTAGAGTTTCACGAGTCCGATCAAACTGTTTCCGACGATCTCGTATGTACTGGGGTATTGAGTTCTTGGCATCATCCGAGTCCGAAGACGAGATACTGTCGTCGTTCTGCAGTGAAGCGACCTTCTCTGATCTAACTGATTTACGCGGACGACCCCTCGTAGCGGCTTTGTTCTTACCTTTTGTAGACGACGTCTTTCGACTCTCTTTCTTCCGCTTCTTAGGTTTCTCACAGGCGTCATCCGAGTCGCCGCTCCATTCAACCTTACTATCTAAAACATCTGGGATAAGTTTGCGCTTGTGTGCTTTGTTGGATGCCTCTAACTTCGTAGAGGCCGCAGAAGAAGTTAGCTTAGGTGGCGAGTCTTTAGACTCGGTAGTTTCATCATTAGAAATGATAACGGCGGGTCGAGGTTCAACCATGATTATGATGTTGTTATTAGATGTTTAAAGTAAGCTACCTAGGTACATAGGTAAGTCGTAAGTCATAAGTCATCCTGAGGTGGATAGTAAATATGTATTATTGGAGTTTATGAGTTTAGAGATAAATGGATATTAAAAAGCAAAAACGCGCTTTAGGTTTATGGGGTTAGCTTCCCGCGCGTGGGCACGTGCGCCTATATTGAGCTAGGTACTGTGGGGCGATGCATTTTTACATTTGTTGTACTGATCCGTACCTCCATACCATAGATGCATTTATGCCTCTATGCACTTGGTGGGTACAGTGTCACCTACTGACCAGCATACCTTAGGTTATGTACCTATCAATGTCTGCCCTTCTTCAGGACAACTGCGAAAGGTCTATTGTGGGATGAGGGAAGGAACCGAAAAATGAAATAAAAATCATGCCACATATTCCTCGAGATTAAATAGAAATCCATAGGATCGTTGCCATTTCTACCCAAGTCACGATGGGAGCGATAGTGAGTAAGTCATCATTCCTCTACTGCATTGTTATTGTTAGTGGTATCAATAGGTAGCAAATGCGGAGGGCCCTAGGTTCTCTTAACCGAGTATGACGGGCAGAAGATTTGTTGTTAATACCAGGTAGAAGGGGGCATTGTTTGGTTACCACTAATAGAGGTAACTAACAGGTAGACCAGACTGTAGGCAAAAATAAATGGTATAAATAGTACCTAAGCTTTTGCGAAAAGCTCAACTCTGAACCCCATCATGCCTTGACATAAAGACTACCAATGTCTATTTCCTTAGTTTACCCCCAGACGCCGCGCCGTGACCAAAAAGAATATAAATAAATGCATCCACTTTTTTTTCTTGCCCTCGAATTACAACAACTCGAAGTCGTCCAACTTGTCGCGGTACTTCATGATATTGCGCTTGATCTTGCTGCCGACGGCCCATGTTACAAAGTCCTCGAGGTTCCTGGTGACGAAGAACGCAGGGTCGGTGATAGTCTCGACGCCCACCCGTACGTGGCCCTGCTCGATGAGCTTCGTAGCCGCCTGCACCGTCTCCGCCATTCTCAGGCGCGTCATCACCACGGGCAACCTCCTGCGCGCCATGGCCGAGACGGTGACGCCGTGCTCGACGTTCGAGAGCTTCGAGGCCGACGACAGGATCCCCATGTCGTAGAGCTTGTTTAGGAGAAGCTCCTCGTGTTTCCTCCTGACGGCGTTGTCCGGCGGTAGCAAGCTGAGGCGATGGGCTAGTTGGCGCAGAGACTATCGATGGAAAATTGTTAGTTAGTTTTTGCCTGCTTTCTTAGTTGAGCCGATTGAATTGGTTGTGGAAATCACTTACACCGCATATCCTGTTGTATCTGTGGTAATCTTCGGGTTTTTGGATCATATACCGCCGTATAACAGCCGCCTATGGATCGCGCATAAGTTAGCAAGAATTTCATTCGAGTAACAGTCGTATCGGAGCACATACATCTCTGTGGTCATTATCCTGTTTCCAGGTAATAAAGTCCGTCTTTCTGAGCAGACGCTGCTCGTGGTGCTTGAGCTTCCGAACCATGGTGTTTGTTGGCTATTCGGAAGATCTATAAGGCTGGTTATTGTTGTTGTTGTATATGGAAAGTCTTGAAGTTGATAAGGCTCGACTTTTTTTTTTATCGTAACTTTTCTGGCCCCACATTGAAGATCCGATAAGAGCTTACTCAAATCCCTGCAGAAGTTTATAACCTTGCGGGGTGCATTGACAGGGATTCGAAGTAAGTACCTAAGTACTGAGGGACATGCAGCTGGAATAATTGTTTAACCGACCAAATTTCTATTTCTAGGTGCATTAACGGGATCCATTGATACAAGCAGTATATGATTAATACCACTATCCAATTGCGTATCGAGGACGATAAATCGTTAAAGGGTGTTTTTCTTTTTTTTTTCTCTTGAGACTGGAGGAATAGGTTATAGCACAAATACATATAGCAAATCAATCGCTCAAGATGCCGCCGCGAATACCCCTTGCCGCCGCCCTACGGCAACCCTCCACCCTCTTCCGATCCCAAGTCGCCAACATATCAACCACCAACCCACAACAAATCAGTAAGTCCAATCCAGTTCCGGTCATTCAAACTCACGGCTAACCCAAGCCAAGTCCGCCAAAACGTACCCAGCATAGCGTCGAACCTTCTCGACCTCGACTCCTCCTCCTCTTCATCCCCCCAGCAGCAGCAGCAGCAGCAGCAGCACGGGCCCCAAGACTCCACGGCCGTGGTATCGACCCTCTACGACCGCCTGCGGCACACGGTGGCGCGCCGCGTGGCCCTCGAGGAGAAGCTGCGCGAGAATGGCCGCGCCGAGGACTTCCTGCGGCAGCTGCCTCGCCGCTGGCGCGCCGGCGACGTCTACGCCCCGCACGACATGAGCCCCTCCGAGATGAACAAGTTGCGCCGCACCCAGGCCCGCAAGAGGGACCTCGTCGACGTCCTCGGCCTCAGTCCCCTCGACATGTACCGCGTACGTACACTGATTTATTTTATTTTATTTCCTTACTTATTTTTCATTTACCTACCTTCTACTCTACTATACTATATGAAAGAATGAAAGAAGAAGAAATAGTAAAAAGAGAAAAGAAAAGCAATTTTACTCGTCTCAAGTATTTATAGAAATATTGGAGGTAACACTCACTAACGAGCACCCTCTCGCAGAACTTCTCCGTCATATCAGAGTTCATGACCGCGCACGGCCGGATAAAGCGCGCGGTAGACACGGGTCTGCGGCCCGTGAACCAGCGGAAGATGGCCAAGGCCGTGCGGCGCGCCATCGGCCTGGGCCTCCACCCCAGCGTGCACTTCCACCCGGAGATCCTGATCCGGGAGAACGTCCGATATCAAGCGCAGACCTCGGCCACGGTCAACAGAAACGTCAGGTCTTAAGGCTAAGCTGGGTATAATTATATAAATATAACTACTTAACCTAAGGTGCTTGGTTTGGTTTGGTTTGGTTTGTTAGTTCGTGACTCGGAATTGTGCAACTAAACTAAACCAAAAAAGAATCTCTGTGTCTTTTTGACGCTTTATATCCGCCTATATACAAAAAAGAGACAGCAGAGATTATTTACCTAGGCTATCTAGATAGATGCCATGTACGAGTAGTGTTGTACAAAGATCAATCCATACACACACACGCACACAAATCATGCCTTCCACGGCCGCGGTTTGATCTTAAATATTGGGAGCCCTTCGCTGTTTTCCTTCTTGGCGTACTGTTTCTTCAGCGACTCCCATACTTTTGGGTATGCTTCCTTTGCCCATTCTTCGAACTGGTCTTTTTTCTCCTGTGACGGCAAAACATTGTACACGGTGCCGAGGCTACAGAGACATTAGTTGGCTATACTCTCGTTATGTACTCCAAGTTCGTGTACTTACTTGTGGAAGTTTGGCCCCTTTCCGACCACATTATCCATATCCTCCAACAGCATCTTTGCGACAGTAAGGTGACTATGCGCGGCCGTTGTGACTACGTACGCGATGTAGACTCTATTGGGTACCTCGATATCCATCCTTTTGATTTTCTCCCAAAGCTCGTTTGCAAGGCTATCACCATCAGGTGTAATCTCGTAAGCTCTAAATACGATTTCGAGCGTAGCGTAGGACGGCCCGTCAGGAGACGATGCGATCTCCGTCCAGAAATCGAGTGCTCGGTAGGGCAAATCGCATGCTACATAGCCGATCATTAGCGCATTATATAGGCGCGTGCTGGGCTGAATTGTCGTGTCCATCTTGAGCATGTTATGGACTGCCTTCAGACTCTCTTCGTCTGGACATTTGCTAATGCCTTCCATGAAGCGGACGTACGTCTCTAGAGTTGGTTGGAGTTGTCGGTTCGCATGGGAGTGCATATGCTTAAACACATGCACTGCCATATCAGCGCGACGTCTATCGAAGAAAGCATCCATGATAGCTTCTCGATCCTCGGCTTCAAGTTCGGGGAAGAACTGTCGCAATAGTGCGTACGCATCCCAGACGCGAGCCGTACTGTTCTTGTCGTCTAAGCAGTATTGCACGAAGGCTTTGCGAACCATGGAGCGCTCCGCAAGACTATAGTGAACAGTGTGAAGCGAAAGTGTGTCTATCACTTCGTACGTCTCGTCATTCTTTAAGAAGGCCATGCAAACGGCAACCAATGTTTCGGGTTCCAGTGTGATGCGTCTTTGCTCGAGGTAACTAGTGACATCCAGAACGCGCTCGTGGTTGGGCTCCGGCTTGGAACACATGGCACGAATGAATAAGTTCAGGACTGAGAGTTCTTTATCTTTAGTTTCCTCTTCGACTTCTTTAATAGACTGGTAAGCGGCGAAAGCGCCGTCCAGATCGTCTGCACAGATACGATACTCGAGCTGAAGCATGTACGTCTTGTAGTTTGGTTTGAAACCAAGCTTACGAGCTAGCCCGATGAAACGTTCAGCTAAATACGGATCGTTTTTGACAATGGCCACCTTGATAAGTCCATTTATTGACCCTATGTTAGGTTGTGAACTGGGCCTGCCTCGCGTGCGTTGGAAAGCAACTTTAATCATATGTTCAATATGGCTAATCCCTTTCCCGAGTAACAGAACAGCCCATTGGTAAGACGTATCCCAACAGGGCTTGTTGTAACATAATCTTGGAGATTCTAAATTGGAGATGAGATCTTGGTAAATTTCCAGGGCCCATTCTCGTTCGTTATTGCGAAGGGCAAACTGGAGTATATCATAGTACGTCGCAGGGGCCGGAGTGAGCATTCTACCGATCGGTTTATTGAACCAGTACTTGGTTTCTCCAACCCTATCTCTCTGTGAAAAAAATGAGGTCATGATGCTGTGAAGCGTGGAGTCGTATTCAAGACCGAACTGCCTTGCCTTGGAGACAAGTTCGAGAAGTTCCGATTCTCGACCCTCTTTAGCAAGCCCTCGAATTGCAGGTATAAACTGCCGTAATAAGCCTTCGCTAGGCAGTTTACCGTCCATTCTAGAATAGTATTTTAAAACCTGGTCCATCGCCTCGAGAGACTGCCCGTACTGTGACAGGGCAGTGGTGAAAGCGTAAAAGTCGTTGGCCATGCGGACACCCCGCCGCTTTAACTCGTAAGCGATCTCTTTGGAAAGCTCGAGATGAGTCGTATAATCGTCTCTCGGAGGCTTCAGCAAACAATCCCTAGCTATCCGAAGGTCGTCGTCGGATAGGTGCTTAAGTTCCCCGTTGTTACGTAGGGTATTAAGATGTGATAGCACCCGAAGAGCGCATAAGGCCTGGGTCGAGTTCACGACGCGGCCATGTTTAGCCTTATATTCGAATAGTTCCCGCCATGCCTTCACTAATTCATCGGGCATTGGAGGTCGAATACTATTTTTCTCTGCAGCTTGGAATTGGAGAAGGGTTTCGTATCCCGGTTCGGCGTCCAATTCCTTCAAGGTGCGTGGTGGTTTTTGGAATAGCTTCAAAAAAGATCTCCTCTGGATGGTCCTTGCGACTCTATACCTCAGGGGATATATACGGGAATATATACGAGATGCCGGCCTCGAAGATATAAAACAGGGGGGGAGGGCGACAGGTGCGTCGCTCGCAAGGATGCGTCGCAAGACATGGCGGGTCAATTGCGACCGCATAATGAGAGGTAGACTATTTATACCAGCTACTACATGATGATTAGCGACTAGGTAAGTTGTTATCTCGCCGGCATTTTTGTTCGACTCGCCTGTGCATGGCTGAAGCTATTAACAGTTGCAGAATGGGGAGTGTTTGGTCCGTACAGGATTGCGTCGTTGCGATATTCTGAAAAATTGGTTGGAGCTTCTGCTGCGCGTCATCTTCTTGTTAGCGATAATCCCCCGATAAAACCCCCCTGCTACGGGTATGTACTATATAGTACCTATGTATTAATAGAGGTACCTACCACCTGCAGGTGCCCAGTTTCCAGGTTGTCAATTGGGGCATATGGACCCTCCGATAACTTACTATGAGGTACCTAGGTAGTTCCAGCCGGCCTATAATGAAAAAACAGCTGTCAGATCTAACCCGCCAGTTGAAGACTTGTTCCTATTAACTCTGCAACAGAAACACATCTTATAACTAAACAACCTGTGCTTTTAATAAGTTTCGAATTTATTCGTATTTCTACCATTGAGCAGAAACTATGAGTCCCTACTTTTTGCTCTTCCTTTCGTTTTGATTGAATTAATTATACGCTCTTATCGGTTTATTTAAATACCAGACAACCTTTTAACCTCCTTATAAACCCATACTACGTATCCCATCTTACTATGTACCTTATATAGAGGTACCAAGCATACTCGACCTCGCTAATTGACAGAACAGGTAGAGAGCTCATCCTCATAGACTAGAAGGAGTTGCCTACTTCCCATGCGAGCGAGATGTGTTAGTGCCTTGCTAAAGGAATAGCCCTGAGTGGGTAGATTAGGAGGTACAGTAGGTAGAGTCTAGACAGGTAGAGGTAATTTACATAAGGACAAGCAAAGCACCTCTCTACTATGTATTACTCGGGCCAAGCGGATGTCTAAAGCTTAAGATCAAAGTGCTTGTTTGAGCTGAAAAAAAGACTAGTATAACGATAGTTAGAATCTAGATTAGTCGATTCATAGTCTAACACGCCGGCTCATCTACCCCCCCTGACTCCATAGTCAACTTTTTCTTACTATGTATGCCCTACCCTCGTATCGTGAGGTTCATTTTCATCATATCCTTTAATAAGACCTACAATCGCTTTCCGTACGCTTGGTCTCTTTCCCCCTCTCACCATGCATACGCTCCTTTTGTGGTGTTGCAAGAGATTTATATTCTCCTTCGTTGAAGTTTGAGGATCTTTAGCATTCCAACCTACGCTCGTTGTCTCTTGAATAAATCGTCACTCTTTAGGTATTATTATACTCGACTCTTGGAAATGCGCGCCTCTTCTTCTATCGCAGCGGTAGCCGTCCTGGCTCGCGGCGTATTCGCTCAATGCACTGATAGCTTTGCCCTCCTTGCCGGCAACCAAGAAATCGCAGAGCAATGTGCTCCTAAGGTATCGACTGATGCCGTAGCTCTATGCAACAGTTATCTGGGCACGAGCACAGTTTTCGCGGTTCCTCCATCCAAAACGGCTTTTACAACCACTACGAAGGTGGCTACTCGTACTGTTACCAGAGTAGTATTCGCACCAACCACTACTACCGAGACGGAAATAATTATCTCTACTTCGAGTACCACTGTCTTCGCGGCTCCCTCCCCTGGCCCGATTGGTCGCCGCGAGATAGAAGCGAATGGAAGTCCGGCCAGCCCGCCCGCTTGTCCTACTTTGGCAAGCTTACCAACGGACAGCATCTCAGGCTCGGCCATCAGCTCCGCCTGTAGCTGCCTGGGCGCGAGTGCCGTCGTGTCGACCGCATCATCCGATGCTGTAAGTTGATTTATTGCCTGTACTATGGCAAGCTATTCCTCATAACTTTCGCAGACTACCACAAGCACTATTACGAAACTGGAGACGACTGTAACCACTGCAACAACAACTTCGGCCATCTTCACTTATACCAAGAGCACCACGACCACCGTCGTAGCTGTGAGTCATATATACCCTCTTCAAGAAATTAATCTCTTTGAAGAAATATCTCAATTAATGATACTTCTCAGGTGGAAACCCAAACAGTGGCATACGACCGCTGCAGCGTCGGCTACAGCTCGGGAGGTAACGGGAAAGGGAACCATGTCGAAAACGTCCAGGCTAACTCTTCGCAACACTGTTGCCAGAAGTGCCAGCAAAAGCAGAACTGCGTCGCGTCGGTTCACACAGGCGCAGTGTGCCAGCTGCTGATCAAGGAAACGCGACTTCAGGGCGCGAGCACGTCTGAGCAATGCCCCCTTGGTGTAGAGGACTACCCATTCGGACCAACCGGCGGAGTTGTGTATCCGGGACCTTGCGGATACTAACGAAGCAGGTAGGTATACCATGATTCGGAGCATCTTCGAGAATTGCCGTACGTCAGGGAAGAGCACCCAGCACGTGCAAGTAGTTTAATGTAATCAACTCATAATAACTAATAATAATAACAACAATCCTCCACAGAGGATAGTATACCTCAAATGGTTCAACCAGTCCCTACATCGGTCAAAAAGGTGCTAATCCCTGGTTAACCATCTTCCCGAGTCAAAATTACTTCAAGCCGCAAAAGACCTGTGGCATCGAGCAACTAGGCAAGATATCCACTACAGGAGCTAAGCTAGGTACCTCCTAGCCTACGAAGTCTAACTTGGCTTGGTGACATGCAGGTCCGAGCGACTCGTTTTTCTTGCGCCAAGTGACTTTGTTCTGTGTGGGTGTATCCTAGTTGACAGAACATAGGGGTAATTGAACACTTGCCCCAACTTCGTACTGGTCTACCTATTTACATAGTACACAACAGAAAGGAGCAAAACTTGAAATGCGCTTGTCCGTTTGCAAAAATTATATAGTAGTGCTGAGAGATACGTAAATGAAGCCATACCTATAACTCGATAAACAGTATAACTAGGTAGCTCCCGAGTCCCTACAAGCTATAGTTCTCATACAGATCCTTTCTTGTCTGCGGCGACATAGTCCGTGACGTCTCTAAAAGCTTCCAAAGCGTGGCTCAAGTACTCCAACTGACCTTTCACTCGAAGCGTCATATCGCAGCCCAGGGGAAGGAGCCGCTCTGCCTCGCGACCCTTTCCGGCGCCTTCTCCGATAACGACTTCGTAGAGCGCCCTCATTGCCTTGTCTTTATCGCCATTGGGTTGCAGTTTCCCGCTAGACACTGCAAATATCAGGTAGAGTTAGAGGTATTGCGGGAAAACAGGATTTGCACAAGGAGCCTTGGCGGGCAATCAAATAGGTAAAGGGACCGGAGACGGGGAAGGGGAAAGGGGAAAGGGGGGAGGTTCTTCCGAGTTTAGGGACGTACTAATCTCGATCATCTGTTCCGCCACGGACCCCTTATAATCATCCGGGAGAGGGTTCTTCCCGACGATAGTAGCGTTCGCAAAGTTCGTGTTGAACGTCCCGAGGGTGACAGTGAGCGTGCGGATTCCAAACGGGGCGACTTCTTTCGCTAGGACTTTCGATATTCCTATGTGCGTCGCCATCATTAGCACATAAATACCAGGTACCTATCTACCTAAGGTACTTATCTACCTAAGGTACCTGTCACCACAGATGAAAGCATTACGGGTTAAGATAGGTACCTAGGTAGGTATCTTACCGTCAAGCGCGGCCTTAGCCCCGGCGTACAGCCCCATGCTATCTCTCCCATCCAGCGCCGCGCCGCTGCTGATATTCACGACGACGCCGTAACGGCGCTTGCGCATGTGAGGCACCACGGCGCGGATGAGCCTAAGGGGACCGAAGTACAAAGTCTCCATCAGAGCTCGCACTTCCTCTTCCGCGGCGGTTTCCACGGGAGCGTAAATGCAGTATCCGGCATTGTTCACCAGGACGTCGATCCCCGTTCCAGAAGCCTCTAGAGATTCGCTATATTGCAAGGTCAGTAGAGGTACCTTAGGTACTTATATCTACCATTTGAGATATTACCGACATATTTCACAACATCATCTAACTACAGTAAGGAGAGCCCGAGGGCTAAAAGAAAAGAAAATAGAAAAAACGAAATGTATAGAAGAACTTCGGAAGTGACTCACATGACCTGGCCGCTGTTCCTGTCATCGACATCAAGTTGGATAAACCGGCTGCCGTTTCCATAAGCACTGATCTCAGCTGCAAGGTCAGGGTTACGGGAAGGATCGCGAGATGTTGCTACGAGCTTGTGGCCGCCAGCAAGGACCAGACGACAGAGAGACTCGCCGAAGCCAGACGTAGCTCCGGTGACGAGCCAGGTAAGGGGGCGGTTAGGCTTGGTGAAGGTGGTCATTGTGATTATATCTCAAGTCTTGTAATGAAGTATATTCTTCAATGTCCTCCTTGTATGGTTCTGGTGTCGATAGAGTCTCGGCGAAAGATCAAAGTTCAATAATAGGACACAGGAGTCTTATATACGGGGATATCTTAAGAGGCCATAACAGTATTAGACCCGAGCAACAGCGATATAACCGTCGACAGAGGAGAAGATATCGGTTCTTCGCGTCTTCGCTGACCGATAAATACTGGTCCATGAAGGAGATAAGGGGTTTTGCCATGTTATATTCCGTTTGGCACAAACATACCTCCTACATAGCTTATTGGACTTAAGTTTAAATCCGCGAAGGTGAAGCGGGTTAAGGAGAAGCCAATGCCAGTGCATGTTTTAAGTGGCACCAAAGAATAAACTATCCCGTCTTATCAGTCAAGCAACGTCCAAACAGTGGTTTATTAGACATTGCTGGGGCCATGATTATAAACCCATTCCGTCTTAAAGAAATTCCACAACAATGCTTTAATACCATATACATATTGACACCTAACTTTACGATATTGATATCACTCGTTGCTGATGATGTTTGTACTACAAGCCTACTTGTGTAGTAATATTGTATACAAATAGTACCTGCTAGGATACCTTAGGTTAGGTAGACATTTATGCTCAGCAAATCCAACGTGCAATAGACGAATACCAATATGTTGGTATCTAGAAACGGCGTCTGCTTCTCCATCTCTCTATCACACACACATACACACACACCCCTCTCCCCCTTTCCTTTTATTCGATGGGACTCGTTATAATTTATAATAACTACCTAACCTAACCTAAAGCAGGCATTTACTCTATAAATGATCTAGGGGGTATATAAACATCTGAGATCTACCCTCTATATACCAACCCTATGCGCCATCCATCGCCTCAGTCCCTCGAATACACCCTCCTACCCGCAACCCATGTCTCCCGCACCTTCAACCCGCGCAGCTCCTCCACATCCAGCCCCTCGAGCGGCGCATCCAAGACGACCCAATCCGCGAACGCTCCCGGTCTAATCACCCCCGTCTTGCCCTTCGTGAAACCGGCATACGCAGGACCCTCCGTGAACCCGCGGATCGCCTGGTCTAGGTCGAGCGCTTCTTCCTCGGCGTACCAACCGTCGGGCGCGTCGTTCGTACCCCTGCCGGTGTGCGGGCTGCGCCGCGTGACGGCCGCGTAGATGCCCTGGAACGGGTCCGGCGGCTCGACAGGGAAATCGCTCCCCAGCACAAGGTTAACGTCCAGGAAGGAGCGCATCCGGTACGCTTCCGTCGCGGTGCGCTCCTTGCCGAGCCGCTTCTCCGCGTACGTCATGTCGCTCGTAGCGTGGGTCGGCTGGATGGAGGGGATGATTCCGATCGCGTGGATGCGGGCCTGGTCGTCCGGGTGGATGATCTGGGCGTGCTCGATGCGGAAGCGGTGGCGGGATTGGCACCGCGAGAGAGGCTCGTCGGGACACAGTAGTCTGAGAGCGGCGACCATGGCGTCGATTGCATTTCGGTTCGCTAGGTCGCCAATTGCGTGTATGTTGACTTGAAAACCCTCGTTCGCCCATGCAATAGTGTCATATACCAATTCGGACGCGTTGACGAGGAGAGAGCCTGACGTGTCTGGACGGTCGGTATAGGGGTCAATTAGAGCGCTACCCCAGCTTCCTAGAGCACCATCTATTCGAAATTAGACAAATTCGATAAATACGTGGAATCCTTATAAAACTTACCGGCGAAAAGCTTTACGCTTTGTATACTTAAGAGGCCATCTGGGCTTGTGTAGCGTTCGACTTCATCTGGGCAGAATGTATTCCGTTCGTAACACTCTATCATAGCATATACTCGTACCGTCCAGTCAACACCACCTGCTAACTCTTTATAGAGGTTCAGGTTTCCAGGTGTGACGCCAGCGTCATGTATTCCCACGAGGCCTACTTCGTTTAGCTTTTCCATGGCACTTTTGACGAATTTCTGCTTCTTCGTAGTATCCGGCTTTGGCCATAGCTCCATGACCATATCCATTGCATTATCGCAAAAGACGCCCATCCCAGGTTCCCTAACGACCTCGCCTCCTGGAACATCAGGGATAGACTCTGGAAGCAAGTCTAGAACAGCCTGGGAAACCCAGATACAATGTACATCTACTCTATCGAGCATAATGTATAGATCCTTTAGTTCTTTGTCGACAGTTAGGTCATCCTTCGAAAATGTCAGTACTTCAACTAAGACAAGCCTGCCCCTATAGCACTTACCGCAGTCGGCATCTTCCCCAGAGCCATCTGGTCCCATCCGACGCCTCTTAACCACTCTTCTTTCGACCCAGCTCCGGGATTTTGGTCAAGATACTTCCGCGCTCGAGACCGAACGTCATCCATAGTAGTAGATCCGAAAAGATCGACCGAGTTTAAGAACTCGCCATACTGTAGAAGATGTCCATGCCCATCCCATAATCCAGGCACTAAGAAAATACGCGTAAGTTAGATACCATGTCTCATGAAACAACAAAATTTGGCAATGTGTACATGTATATAATGAATGATAACTTCTCGCCCGGCTTGGCTAAGGTGCTTTAACTGCTGGAGACAGGCCAAAGGGAGGATAGCGGAAGACCAGATAGATATTACATACTAGCATAGCCGGAGCTGGCATTTCGCGCAAGATCCGAATCAGCAGGTGCCTTGAAGACCTTCGAGAACTTCCCGGTGGGCGAGACCGAGAAGCAATTCACGTAGGGCTCTACGGCTGAATTGGTACGCACGGATTGGTAGCAGTGCGTCTCCGTGTAGGCGTAATCTACCACGCCCTGACGAAGCTTGACGAGCCCGGCCACTGCCACGATTACGGCTGACGAGTACAGCCAGACCGTATCGCGGCCGAGACGCGGGAGGCGGAACCAATCCATGATATGATGATTTAGGCTAGGTTAGGTTAGGTATGTACTTGTTTAACTTAGCGACATCAGAATAATCAGATACGGACGGCACTAGGTATGTCCTGCCTGCTAAAATAGCGCCTCGAATGCATTGTCACCGGCGTATCTAAACGACCCGAAGCATTTTAACGGAATTACGAGCAGCTCTCCATTTTTTTATGAGTGGAAGTGCCAGGCGCTCTGATACTGTGCGATAAGATACCAAAACAGGGAGGTAAAAAGAAGAAGAAAAAAACCATTCTTCAACCCCATTGAGTATATTGTCGATTAGACGTATATCGAGTAGGGTTAAGGCGATGTACCGTTTTATCCGAGGATTTGTTACCTACCTGTCACCTGTCAACTTCTATGAGAAGCGGGGGCGGGGTAAAACGTCCTTGCAGAATACATTAGGTGTAAGCTTGCGCGCTAAGACGTAACGGAAGGTGTTATACTATGGTAACTCTAAAGCTTTCGGTGGTGCCTCCTTTAATAAGGATGGCACCCAGTGCTTTTATATATTAGGTACCTCCTAGGTAAGTAGGTAGGGGTAGGTACCTAATCTGATTGATATATGTACTTGGCACCTCTCAGACTTATTACTCTTAATAAAAGCATTGCTTACTTACCCGTGAGAAGAAGGGTTAGATCAAGGCTTACTAGGTAGTTAACATCATCTACCTTACCTTGTCTTAATCCAACCAATCGCAACTCATCATAGACCAAACATACCCGAGGCTTCGCAGCGGCAGCAACAGCAACCGCCATGGCCGACGCCGCCGCCCTCCTCAAGCTCGCGGAGACCGACGTCTCGCAGGAGCTCACGAAGGAGCAGTACATACCGGTTATCACCCGCGCGCCCTTCGTATTTATCGACGGCGCCTTCAACACACGGGACGTAGGACTGGTTCCGGGGAGCCCCGTGCGGTCCAACTTCTTCTTCCGGTCCGGCGCGCTCGCCCGGGTGACCGACAACGGGAAAGCCGTGCTGGGGGGCAAGCTGGGCGTCAAGCGCATCTTCGACCTAAGGTCCCCCGAAGAGCGCGCCGGCGCCCCCGACCCGGGCTTCGACGGCGTCGAGAACACCTGGATCGAGAGCACGCGGCCCGACACGACGCCTGCACCGGAGCGCTTCGTCGCCGGCGGGGGCGAGGAGGGGTACCGCGAGATGTACCTCGAGGTTATAGACGTCTACCAGGAGAGCTGGAAGGCGATTTTGGAGCATATTAGGGATCGGCCGAACGATCCGTTCCTGGTCCATTGCACAGGTTCGTATATTTTAGGTACTGGGTGGTTACCGTAGGTAGGGAGTCTGTACTAATACCTTGGTATGTTTCAGCCGGACGCGACCGAACAGGCGTACTCTCTGGGCTTTTGCTAGCCCTTGCCGGCGCATCGCAGGACACCATAATTTTAGACTACATGTTATCGCGCATAGGGACCGAGCCAGTGCGGTCGATGCTTCTGGAGTTTGCGGTAGCAGGCTCGCACGCGGAAAGCAGGGAACAGCCGGGTTTCCACAACCTGGTAAATCTGCGGGCTTCGAGCTGGAATGCGTTCGTCGACGGCGTGCAGGAAGAGTACGGTGGTTTCGAGAAATTCGTTACGGACAAGCTCGGGTTTTCCAACGACGACTTAGCTAAGATTAAGGCGAATCTAACGAGCTCTTGAGTGCTCCCATTTGGTCTAGGATTTCTATATATATGTCTATAGTTTCAGGATAAGAGTTGGATTTGCTAGAGTTGGATCAAGCGATATCATTAATATGAAGTATTTAATTCGTGAGCGAAAACAATTATTTTTTTCCCTGGGCAGGACAATGAAGTGACGGTTACGCAACAGCGGGTGAGCGAGGCCTTGTCATTGAAAGAATTACTTTAGATGACAGGTACCTTACCTAGCTCTAGTTATTGACTTTGCAATTGAATCTCATAGGGATATATTCATACCGCGGGGATTACTGACGCTTCGGATATACATCCTAGGACTGTGTGTATGTGGATACATACCTGTTGCGTGTAGTATAAACTTCCTACCAATCACATTAAGCTTTAACTGAAGTACCAAAGGGCGCTTCTGTGTAGATGGAATATGTGATTAGTGATATCCTACGTACCAGAAAGTCGGTCTATTTACGTGCCTCTCCACTTCATATCTCCACTACCGGAGGTATAAGAACTCAAATAGCTCCCTAAGAGATTTCTCGAAACTTTGCGTGTGTTAGCTTTAATTTCCCTAACAACTGTAATTTAGGTCGCTAGTTACCTCTCATTCGCATCTTTTGTGTATGAAGATGGCAAGCCGTGATATAGAGCTCGAGGCCATTTCACATCCTACTGCTAGGATTGGAACTTCGACGACCCCAGATGAGAGCACGACTCCGCAGGCTGATTCGCAACCCGAGGATGCCAGACAAGAATTCTCTTTACCGCCCGTAGATGGAGGGAAAGACGCATGGCTCTTCTTAGCAGCATGCTTTGCAATTGAAGCCCTGGTTTGGGGTACGTTCCGAGGATAAGCGTGTAAGCAATACGTGTAAGCAAGAATTTGCTGACCTGCTTCAAGGCTTCCCCTTTGCTTTCGGAGTGTTCCAGGACTACTATAGCACCCACGAACCTTTCGCAGGCTCGCCGAATGTTGCTGTCATCGGTACCTGTGCGATGGGTATCATGTACCTTACTGCCCCTCTTATGATGGGACTGTGCCGTATCTTTGTTCGCTGGGCTCGGTGGACGTCCTTAGTTGGGCTATTCACTATGTGTCTTTCACTTGCCATGAGCTCCTTTTCAACTAAGGTCCCGCATCTTATCGCAACCCAAGGTATCCTTTACGCAATTGGCGGTGGTATCGCGTACTGTCCCTGTATCTTGGTAAGTGTACATATGATGTAAGGGGGTGGTGGAACTTTTGGTCTTTTGAGCACGGCTAACTGATGATATTTGTTAGTATATGGACGAGTGGTTTGTACAGCGTAAAGGCCTCGCCTATGGCATCATGTGGAGCGGTACGGGGATCGCGGGAGTAGTTCTGCCTCTCCTAATGGAATTTCTCCTTCACTCCTTCGGCTTCAGGACAACGCTGCGGCTATGGTCTGGTGTGCTCTTCGCCTTGACGGTCCCGTTAGCCTTTTACATCAAGCCACGACTCCCCCATTCGGCTAGAAGCCATATGAAGCCTTTCAACCTAGCGATGTTTGTGATGCCGACGTTTTGGTTGTATCAATTAGCCAATGTGGTAGAAGCGATGGGGTTCTTCTTGCCAGGCATCTATCTCCCTAATTACGCTCGCAGTGCTCTCGGCGCTGCATCATATAGCTCAGTTACTACAGTCCTTTTGGTGAATGTTGCTTCAGTCTTTGGCTGTGTCGCCATGGGATTTTTCATCGATCGGTTACACGTCACCACATGCATACTGTTATCGACGATTGGTGCAACCATCAGTGCGTTGGTTATATGGGGTTTATCATCGTCTCTCCCGCTTTTATACCTCTTTTGCGTCGTCTACGGCCTATTCGCAGGGTCTTATACATCTGCTTGGCCGGGAATTATGAACGAAATCGTTCGAAAGGGAGAGGCATTAGGCCAAGGCTACATCGACCCGAGCATGGTATTTGGATGGCTTGCTGCTGGCCGGGGAATCGGAAACGTGGTTTCGGGACCGCTGAGCGAGACTCTAATACAAGGTTTGCCATGGAAGGGGAACACGGCAGCGTTTGGCTACAGTAGTGGTTACGGCAGCTTGATAGTGTTTACTGGTGTGACGGCCTTACTAGGCGGTGCGAGCTTCGTCTGGAGACGATTGGGTGTGTTGTAAAGTTGCATCTTAGATTAGGTAGCCACCTACCTAGATACGATCTGCATATACTACCTTGTAGGTAGGTAATACGTGGGTGATAGGTATAATAAGTGCAAGTCATACGAACTCCGAACTGAGGTACTGAGGTACTGAGGTGTGCTTCTCAAATATAACAACGGTGATTTAGAGCGCCAGATATCAATGTCAATTGATATCTAGAATTCCTAATCTGTTGTTGTTATTGTCTGATTGATTATGAACAATTACGAAAGCTATCGTACAAGTAATATTCTATATAATATAGTATAGGTTAGGTACATATTGGCTTATAGAAACTTGAATTAAATTTAAATCCAAACCTGTGGCGCCCTGCGCCTGACTTTTTTTTCTGTGTGTGTGTGTGTGTGCGTGCGTCATTATCATAGTGCGCAGATTGGTGTCTCGTCGTACAAAGCAGAGCCAATGAAGCAGAGATTTTATCCAGTTTGCTAATACATATTAAAAGTCACCGACGCCAGCGGTGTCTAGCGTCCGGCTTAGTGCTGCACTTGGTGTTACACGCACATCAGATAAGAGTCGTTTTCAAATTGTGCGTATTTGATTGGTCAATTGCGATGCGGAGAGTCGGTAAATTCGGTGTTTTGGGCGCAGTCTGAAATAGTACATAGTAATCTGTGGGAGACACTTCCTGCTGGATGTAGAAGATCGAAAATGCCAAATTTACCAGCTTTATTTACACTGTCCGATTACCTACTCGTACCTCGTAGCACTTGCTACTAGGAGTCCTTTGCTTTCTCTTGCACTTCTAATATCATAACAGGAATTAAAGGTGGTTAGCAAATATATATACTGTTTAATCTAGGTCGAACAATAATAAAAATACCGTTCACTAATAATTATTCCTATTTGTGACATATAATAAAATCATAAATAGAAATTTCAAATAGTTGCGTTGGTCTTTGAAAGTCAAATTAGCACATGTCATTCAGGTAGGTTAGGTACTTCCAAGGTTATCGGCTACGTGCAAATTGCACTGTATCAAGTATTTAAAATCCCATCCGAGGGACCCCACTAGAACTTTTGGCGACCAGGTCCGAAGCGGCAAAAATTCATTCGTAGCGAATTTCGCTATTACATCCAGAGCGGCCGCCAACACCCGTCGCAAACTTACTATTTTATCTTTTTTAAGTACCATTCTTCAACTTAGCCATCTTGGCCACGGCTTAGTCGGATATTCTTCCCCTTTTCCCCAACAGTATCGTGTGCGAATTGTCGGCCTTTGCTGTTTGTTTGACTTTGGACTTTGAACTCGGACAAACTTCATTCTCTTAACTTTTTTTTTTTTATCCAGACGAACTCACCCTCTTTTTTTCTGTCATACCTCCGAGTCGCATTACCCTTCCCCAGCTCTTAAATCAGCTTGGCCGGTCGACGATATTGCTAGTCTTCCCTTCCTTTATCGGATTTGGTACAGTACTAGCAAAAATGTCATTCTCTAATCTCGTCCATGATCTCGCTATTCGCGATACCATTACGCCACGTCAGCCTCGAGGCACGGCTTCAGTTTCAACTGTCGACGACCGAGCTTCCCATATCTCGAGAGCCATGTCCTACGCGAGCACAGCAGCAACTAGCGTAAGCATTGCAGGAGACATTTCTAGCCAACTTCACGGCGGTTACCACCACCCTCTAGCTAGATCATGGCAAGCCGAGCGACAATTGACTAAGGTTCGCTAGCATACTCCAGCGAGACTTAAGACACTTAACGACTCACATAGGAATACAGTCAATGTTGATTTACCCTCTCTTCATTTCGGACATCGATGACGACGAAACTCTTATTCCTTCCTTACCAGGCCAGTACCGTCGCGGCATCAACAAGTTAGTTCCGTTTCTAGAGCCATTGGTCCGAAAGGGTCTCCGATCAGTGATCCTGTTCGGAGTTCCTCTCAAACCCGGTAGCAAAGACGCATTGGGAACTGCTGCCGACGATCCGAAAGGCCCGGTCATCCAAGGTATCCGTTTATTACGACAGCGATTCCCTCACCTATTTATCGTCGTTGATGTTTGCCTTTGCGAATACACCTCACATGGCCACTGCGGAATCCTCAGGGACGATGCTACTTTGAATAACCAATTGTCGGTAGACCGAATTTCCGACGTTGCCATCGCCTACGCCCAAGCTGGTGCCCATTGCGTCGCTCCATCCGACATGAACGATGGCCGTATTCGAGCCATTAAACTGAAACTTATCGAGGAAGGAATTGCGCATAAGACTCTACTAATGTCATATGCCGCTAAATTCTCTGGTTGTCTCTACGGTCCCTTCAGGGATGCTGCTGGCTCGGCACCTTCATTTGGCGACCGACGGTGTTATCAGCTACCACCCGGAGGGCGTGGTCTTGCCCGACGAGCCATAGTCAGAGACATTGGCGAGGGAGCGGATATTATCATGGTGAAGCCTGCTGCCCAATACCTCGACATTATCAGTGACGCGAAGGAGTTGGGCAAGGATCTTCCCATCGCCGCTTACCACGTGAGCGGAGAGTTCGCGATGGTCCACGCTGCTGCAAAGGCCGGAGTGTTCGACCTTAAAACGATGGCGTTCGAAGTCACCGAGGGAATACTTCGGGCCGGTGCTACTATCATTATCAGCTATTTCACCCCCGAATTCCTTGACTGGTTAGACAACTAGCCAATTTTATATATACTTGGGAATTCCGTCACGTGCTTAGCATTGGAGTTTTTGGCGCCTATGGGAGCATTGGGTTATACAAATTATGAGAGCGAGAACGACGTCACGTATATAGATTTACGTATGCTGTCTTCGAGAATGGACAAGACCAAAAGTCAGTTGAAAGTGTATGAACACATAATAGGAATAACAACCAATCAACCAATCAGTGGAAAGAACCAGACAATTCTGCATTTCATATCTATCCTATCCATTATGACAGACCAACTCATAAGTAAAACTCACGATTTATACCTAGGTGCCTTCTGTGTTATGTGATATAGCTAACGGCATCATATATGTAAACACCATACTCGCGACAAGACGAAAGTCAATTTATGCTACTACAACTGGGGCACGCATAGTTTAAAGAGGCGGAGAAAAAAAGAAAAAAAAAAGTGAATACTAACGATCCCGAATTACATCCGCGGCTCTATATGGATGGATTCACATCATATACCCTTACCTTGATGTAATCGCTAACGACTTGGCGTATGGGCAGAGAAAATTACAAACGAACCACTTGACATTTCTGGCCCTGTTGCCGACGAGTTAGTCTGGTTCTAGACTTTCGGCGTACCTATGTGCTGTCACCCTGGAAATGCACAATACTTACTATCTCCAGTGTTAGTCATGCCAATATAGATAGATTTGATGGGGACCATTCATGGTCTATTATGAGGTACCAGGTATACTAGGAATTACCAATATAGACCGACAACACCATGCTCACCTACGTGCCTTTTTTCCTGCCCTCTTCTTCTGCATCTTCACGGCTTTACAGCTAAGGTAGGTACCAAGCAAGCACTGCGAAATTCTTTATAAACTCGAATTCGTAATCTCTTCTAGAACCGAGCCGCTGTCTCCCCTCCCCTCCCATATCTCTACTTGGCGGCCCCGGATAAGGAAGGTAAAGTTTATCTGACCGCCAATGCCCATGCCAACGCAATGCCCGATGCTACTCCTTGGCGGAACGGAAGAGGCCGTGTCGCGTGTGGGGCATACCTTAGGTAGATACCTACCTAAGGTAGGTAGGCAGGCTATAACCACGGCCCTGGAAACACATTTCGAGCTGCCGCTAGGTACTATGTTGGTAGGTAGGTGGGTTAGTAGGTAGGTATTCTTATCGTCGACGGAGACGTGATCCGGAGTGTGGTAACGCGGACGTGGGTTCGATCTTGGGTTGCAATGGTGCAGGTACATACACGCACGACCGGGAAGGGAATAGATAATAAAATTGCATTAGGGAGTCATTCCTCTTACATAGTATATAAAGCTTGCCGTGGTATGTTGGTGTTGACAACGACTTATCTGCTTGTTGCTTCCGACAATTTTTTCCTTCTTTCTCCAGCCGTGGTCTTTCGTAGCATTTACGTTCGTTGAAGAAAAAGCCATGAGGGTCCCAAGTCCCGGTGTAGCCCTCACGGCCGTGAGCGTGCTCGCTTCGGCTAGCAGCGCGGAACCTATCAGGAGGGCAAAATGCGGTCCTCCCTTGGTTCAAGATGTAAAGAAACCCACACCCCATAGATATGAAGTAGACGCAATGCTAATACCTACCTACCTAATGACAAAATAGAAAGCCTTGGTGGATTCTATTCTCCTAGAAGACCTGCTGGGTTGCGCGCAGGACTTGGAGGACATAGCCTATTCGACGTCGAGACGGAACCGAGTATGTCCAATACTTCCCCCTACAGAATGCCTAGAATTTTTCTGCTAATAGGAATCCGGTCTAACTAGGTCCACGGCACGGAGGGCCATCTCAACAGCGTCAACTACTTCGTCGAGCAGCTCAAGTCGGTAGGCGACTACTACAACATCGAGCTGCAAGAATTCACGACGGAGGTGACTGTCCAGTCCAAGGCGTCTCTGTCCATCAACGGGGAGACCCTCGAAGCCGGCGGTTTCTCGTTTGGGAACAACGGGACTTGGGTCGATAAGCCAGTGGTTTCCGTGGCTAACCTCGGCTGTAATGCTGTAAGCCTCCCGGATTCAGGTAGCCTTTTCATATTATTACGAACAGCATGCTCTAACCGTTCTGTCAGGAGGACCACCCGGACTCTTTAAGCGGAGCAGTAGCTCTGATCTCCCGAGGGAACTGCACTTTCGTCCAGAAGATCACGCTCGCCGGGGAGAAAGGCGCCATCGGCGCCATCATCTACAACAACGCGGCAGCAGGTCTCGCAGCCGGGACTCTCGGTGGTGTCAACGACTTGGTAAGGGATTACTTTACTTTCTTTTTACTTTACCACCTGAATATAATACCCGCCTACCAAATAACCTACCTACCTAACCTAACCATACGTGTGTGCCAACGCTAAACTCTCCCTTTTATAACAAACGCAGATCCCAGTCGGCGGCATCTCGCGAGCAGACGGCCTCCGCCTCGTCGAACAGATCACGAATAACGCGGCGGTAACCTCGTCGGGCGAGTTCTGGCAGTACATCGCGAACACGACGAGCTACAACGTGGTGGCGAGCACGAAGCACGGGGACGCGAACAACGTGCTGTTCCTGGGCGCGCACAGCGACTCGGTCGAGGCCGGCCCGGGGATCAACGATAACGGCAGCGGCTCGTGCGGCCTGCTGACCGTCGCCAAGCAGCTCGCGCGCTGGCGCACCAACAACCAGGTCCGCTTCGCCTGGTGGACGGCCGAGGAGGAAGGCCTGCTCGGGTCGGAGCACTACGTCAACGTCGCCGCGGGCTCGGAGCTCGACAAGGTCAGGTTGTACCTCAACTTCGACATGATCGCCTCGCCCAACTACGTCCTGGGCATCTACGACGGCGACGGGAGCGCGTACAACCTGTCCGGGCCCGCGGGGTCGGCCGAGGCCGAGAAGCTGTTCGAGGAGTGGTACCGATCGGAAGGGTTACCCTTCGTCGGGTCCGAGTTCAACGGGCGCAGCGACTACGGGCCCTTTCTAGACCAGGGCGTGCCGTGCGGCGGTCTGGATACGGGCGCGGACGGGATCAAAACCGAAGAGCAGGTCGCGCTGTTCGGCGGCACCGCGGGAATCTGGTACGACCCCAATTACCACTCGGCGAAGGACAACGTGACGAACCTGAACCTCGAGGCTTTCCAAGCGACGGGCCGCGCTATCGCGCACGCGGTCGCGACGTACGGGACGAGCTGGGAGGGGTTCCCGGCGCGCAACGTCACGTCATTGACTAGGAGATCGTCGGTATACTCCAAGTACAAGACCCTTTCGAGAAAGTCCAGGGGTGGAAAGAAGACCTACTAGGTTATCTACGTTAGGTAGATAGCTGTAACCTATATCTAAGGCTATTTAGTAATAGAATATAATTACGTCAATTGCAATCCTCTTTGTGATTGTCTTTTCATTGTTAATCACTAGCTAACTTACTACTATGTATATATTGTACCTGACGGCATTGATATAGATCAGACTAACGAGTGAGCCGGATCCAATACTAGAACAACAGTCCGTAAAGCTTAAGTCTAATAAGAATTTTTTCTTATCTACGCCTAGCAAATACGAAGTACCTATTTTAGTCAAGGTCAACAATGATATAAGAGGAATAATAAGACTTCAGTAACGGGCAAACGACTCGGGCCAGTAGCTTACCGCGTCCAAGTCGGTTATCATGATTCCCAGCCTATGTCCCGATTGAGAAGTATCCCGAATGAACGGTCTGACGGCCAAGCACGCGATTCCGCGGTGAATGTGCGAAGGGCTACTAGGGCTACCGTTCCTTGCATAGGCACGCGCTCGGCGCCAATCATATCCCGTTAAGGTGTAGATTTATCTCGCAAGAAGTGGGGAGCAATCATCCGAAATGTAGACTCGACAAGGATCTCTCTTTCGCTACTATACACACGTATGTAGGTGAGATCCCCGCATCATTCCATCTTTTCCGGCTGCGAATCAGAGCCATCCGAACTCGGGAGCTGTATGCCTATTGGAGAACCTGCTGTTGACCGATCAAGACGCCCCAATGACGGATCGCAAACCTGGCCGGTCGAATATCGATTAGACACGAGAACGCCAAGTACTCACCTGCCTTTTTCATATAGGAAGCTCCAAACTAGTGCTGAGCTCTTTCTCACTGTGCCGTTCTGCTGGTGCGATACAAGATAGAAGATACTGGAAATTCAAACTCTAGGCCTGGTCCAGGTCCATGGAAATCACGGCATGACGCAATTCCAAGAGATACCGGTGTAATATGTAGTGTGATTGTTGATTGTTTTCCCTGATATACCCCACCTCGCTTTCCAGCCCTAGCTTCTTTGTTGTAGTTATTTGATGGTGTCCTGGGCCCTTCCATTTTCATAGAACTTTTTGTTCAACCCACCTACCTCAAGCCAAGCTACCATAGGGTCGTAGGTTATCGGCGTGGAAAGTAGGTTGTTCTCGTCGTGACCCTAGGTACGTGAAGATGAGGTTTCGATCGCCAGCAGCGGTAGCTTTCGCTGCCCTGCCTACCGTCTTCGGTATTACGCCAGAGTCTATGCTCGCTGCGAACCGCTATGGCGTTGCCGCACCCAACCCCAGTGGTGTATGTACCCAATGTTTCACAGCTAGCCTCGTGTAGTACACTAACCAATTGTAAAGGACTTTGCACTCTACACGGTATCTAACTACACGTTTGAGACCAAGAAGAGGTCATCGCAGTGGAACAAGCTCGATTTGAAAACTGGCGAGATCTCTGTCTGGTATTCCGGCTCCGACATTTCGGAAGTTGTGTTTGTCGGATCAACGCCTACAAGCATCATTTACATCAACGGCACGAACGCCGAAGACGACGGCGGTATAAGCTTATATGCTGCAGACGTCAACTCCCTAAAGGATGCCAAGTTGATCACATCCTTGCCCGCGCCCTACTCAGGTCTTAAAGCTGTCCGAACGGAATCCGGCGATATCCACTTCCTCGTATACACTAAGGCGTATCCTAACGGCACAGCGTACAACGAGGCATCTGCAAACACTCCGGCCAGCACGGCCAGGATTTACACACAAACTTACGTTCGCCATTGGGTAGGTGACTCGTTATAAAACTCAATAAGCATCGTTGGCTAATGGCGGTTCTCAGGACACATGGCTTGATGACAAGAAAAACGCCGTCTTTGGCGGCGTGCTGAAGGAATCCGGTGACTCCTACTCATTTTCCGGAGAGCTCACAAACTACGTCTCCGGCATTGCTAATGTCACACGCGCCGAGAGCCCCTACGACCAGAGTGACGAGAGTGATTACGACATCTCGCCCGATGGAAGTGGTGTTGTTTTCCTGACTAAGGATCCTTCGCTTCCGTTGGCTAATTATACCGCTGATGTGATCTACTATGTGCCGTTCAATGGCACTTCAAAGGACGCCGTTCCGATCAATGCCAGGGGTACTACCAAGTACCCCAAAGCCCAAGGCGCCGCCGTAAGCCCGAGGTTTTCTCCTTCCGGAAAGAAAATTGCGTATTTCCAGATGAACAATATCGCCTACGAGTCGGATCGTAATATCCTTTACGTCGCGGACGCGGATCCGGAAGACTTCAACGTGACTGCACTCGCGCTGGACTGGGATAGATCGCCAGATAGTCTAGCATGGTCCAAGGACTCAGAGACCCTCTTTGTCGCTGCTCCAGATCTAGGTCGAGAACGTATCTTCCCTGTTCCTCTTACCGCTGGCGATTCGTATGTCCCCAAGAACATTACGAACGAAGGTGTACCTGCCGGCTTTTATGTCCTGCCTGATGACTCCATTCTCGTATCCGATTCCAAGATCTGGACGAGCCGGGATATCTACACAGTATCGCCGGAAGGTGATGTCATCAAGACATACTTCCAGGCTAATCTGGTCGACCCTGCTCTCGCTGGTCTTGGGCCGGAGGATGTGTCTGAGTTCTATTACTCGACCAATACTTCTGAAATCAAGCAGCAATCATGGATTGTTTACCCCGAAGGCTTCGACGAGAACAAGACTTACCCGCTGGCTTTCATCACGCACGGCGGTCCCCAAGGTGCCCACTTCAACTCGTGGAGCACGCGGTGGAATTTCAAGGTATGGGCTGATCAGGGTTACGTCGTTATTGCGCCAAACCCAACGGCGAGTTCTGGTTGGGGCCAGAACTTGACAGATGCTATTCAAGGCCGGTGGGGATTATATCCGTACTGGGATCTGGTACATGTCTGGGACTACGTCAACAGCACCCTGAAGTATGTTGATACAGAGAATGGTATCGAAGCCGGCGCATCGTTCGGCGGATATATGACAAACTGGTAAGCCTTTTAACTTTGAAAAGGTAAAACCGAAAGCATATATACTAACGATAACTCCTTTTAGGATTCAAGGACACGAGCTTGGAAGGCGATTCAAGGCTCTCGTGACGCATGACGGCAGCACGTCGACTTTGAATCAATATGCCAGCGAGGAACTGTGGTTCATGAACCACGATTTCAGTGGCCAATTTAACTCGGGTGGTTTCGTACCTGGCTCGCCATACTACGACTGGAACCCCTTGTTGTACGTGGACAACTGGGCGACGCCGCACTTCGTAGTCCATAACTCGCTAGACTTCCGGCTACCCGTCAGCGAAGGCATTCTCCTCTTCAACCTCCTCCAGACGAAGGGTGTGCCGAGCAAACTGCTCAACTTCCCAGACGAGAACCACTGGGTTCTTAAGCAAGAGAACAGTTTGGTCTGGCACACGGAAATCTTCAAATGGATTAATCACTATAGCGGTATCAGTAATTCGTCTAGCCCTTATTAAGAGCTAGATGTAATTCACCTGTACGTAATTCGCTTGGGATCATGGAATTCTGTTGAATCCTGTAATACCTAATTTAATTAGACATTATCGTTTGATGAAGCAACATTGTGCGTTGTATCATGCATGTGACTCAATGCAAAAAAGTAAAGTACTTGCTTCAGCACAGCATAGAATGTGTGTGACTAGATACCAGGTAGGTAGGCAGCGGAACATACCTAATGTAAATCGATGTGATGCTTTTTAATGGTGTGTAGAAGATAAGATTGATATTTGCATGCTTTTTCTCACGAGGTAGCTAGGTACCTACCTAGTTATATTTTAAAGTTTGACATGTATTTGACATGTATCCCATTTAGATGGCAGGTATGAATCACATGGTTATAGGTAGGAGGTCCCTTAAGTAGGTGGTTTAGGTCCAGCCATACGTAATTTGAATACATCTTAGGAAGGTACATGACATTAGGTACCTCTGACATTACCTACATGGATATAAGCGTACAAGGTACTATGCAATTTAAAACAAGTCTAGTATGTAATCCGATAGTATAAATGAAGAACGTACGAAATTAGAAATGACCTAAACATTTTGGTTAAGATTTTCGTAGCCGCTGCCAACTTTCATTTCTCACCAACTCGTCTGCTCGTCTGTAGCAGACGTTAGCGGTTTCAACTCTTCTTGGAACGAACTTTAACCTCCCCCCACGCTCAACCACAGGGATCACCAAGCTTTTGTCCCTGTCGATCAAACGGAATTACTCCACTGCTCCACCGCCAATCGCTCCACTGCCACCAGGGTCCCATCTCATCGCCAAGACGAAACGGATGAAGCTCAAAGCGTGGCCAAGGAGAAAGATGACGCTGATGGCGTTCATCCAACAACCACCAGCCCACTAAAAATATCCGCTTATGTTGTCCACTGGGCCGGGGAGCAATGGAGCCGGTTCGACACAGTTTCTTGGATTCCTAGGTACCTAACACACCAGCACACTCACACACTCATACACTTACACGCTTACACCCTTTACTTCAACTTTCTAACCGTACTCAGACTTGTACCCTCCTTTTACATGGCCACATGTGTCTGCAAAACTATTCTGTTACCAATTCACTTGCACGTATTGTCTAAGCTGATTGAGTAAGACATAGGATACTAGGTAGGTACGTACTACTACGGTATAAGGGGGTCAAGCCATGTTCTATACGTCCTCGACTCCTTTATTACACTATAATCCATATACGTGGTATAGTTCATCCACTCCACATTTAACATTATGGGGCGGCCAAACGTTAGCAAGTCATCTTATACCTGACGAAAGTCTACCGCACATCTTTCTTTATACGTCAAGCGACATGACGGGGGAACGGTTTCGGATATTCGTAATCTACTTGTCTGCTTGGGGAAGCAATGAATAAGAGGATGACATGACATACGTTAGGTAGATTAGGTACATAATTCAGCCGCTTTTCCCTTGACGATCAGTATCCTTCGCTGCCAGGGTGCGCAACATGATCTTCATCATAAGTGGTCCGTGACGGCCTCGGCTTCAGATGGATAGACAAGGAAACAACTCGGTGTAATGAGCTCTTTTCTTCTTTGTCGTATACTCAGGGGCTAGGTTACTTGTCCAAAAAAAAAAGTGCTACCTACTTGGTAACCGTGGCCGGTACTCCTACCTAAATCTTCTTCACTTCTTTCACTACATTGCCGGACAATGAATGGTTATGCGCTGTCAAGGGCTTCGCTCTCCCACGAGGAGAAGCTGTCTCTCATCGACGATAGATCTCTCTCGGATGTAGATAGTGAGAGTGCTCGCGCGGATCTCGACGGTCGTTTCTCGGGCATACAATGGGCTGCCACAGCAAAGTCTTATTGTAACGGCCTACGTCTATCGTCATGGAGCTCTTTAATGCTCCGGATAGGCATGTTTCTACTACCCAGTTTCGTTCACCACCGGTTTGTCCGTGAGCGGTTTCGGCCAGAGAAGCTTCACCCAACGGCATATCTTGACGGAATGCGAGGTCTAGCGGCGTTGTTTGTATTTTTTTGCCATTATTTTTACACGGCTTTCAGGGTAGCAGAGGGCTGGGGTTCCAACGATGCCAACTACGAGATATGGCGGCTACCTTTTGTCCGGCTACTCTACAGCGGGCCGTCTATGGTCTGCATATTCTTCGTCATTTCAGGATACGCTCTCTCGCTAAAACCACTAAAACAACTTCGAAGTCGTTCTTTCGATGGTTTCTCGCAAACCATGACCTCGTTCGTCTTCCGTCGCTTCTTTCGCTTATACCTCCCGCCGATGATCTCGACCTTCAGTGTGTTAGTCCTACTTCGATTTGGCTTTTACGAAGTTACTAGGGCCTTTTCCGGCGACCGGCAATATATACACAATGTTATAGAGCATCATCCCGTTTTGGAGGAGACCACTCGGAAGCAGTTGCGTCATTGGATGATAGAGATGTACAATTTCGTACACATTTGGGGCTGGGAGAAGTTTGGCGGTGCGACTGGATATGATGTCCACCTCTGGACTATTCCCGTGGAGTTCCGGTGTTCAATGATGCTCTTCCTAATAATATTCGGCACAGCTAGACTACGGACCGGCGTACGGTTCCTCTGTCTTACCATCCTCATGTGGTTTGTGCTCCGTAGCGATCGATGGGAAATGGTTCTATTCCTTTCGGGGACGATGATTGCGGAATTAGATCTCATCCGCGGCGCCCATGAGCCGAACAATCAACCGCCTGCTCCCCCCTTGACATTACTCCCACTTGAAAAGACACCAGACACCGTCCCCGAAAAAAGGGGCCCGTGTAACCACCTATGGACTTTATTGTCTATCCCAGCTCTCTATCTGATGTCGGAGCCAGACGCCGGACCCGCCGGCGTTCCCGGGTGGGAATATCTCGGGGCGCATATCCCCGAGTGGTTTTCGGATAAGTACCGATACTACCAGATGATCGGGTCGATCATATTCGTGTTCTGCACGGCGCGATCGACCTCCTGGCAACGGTTCTTCAACTCGCCCGCGGTGCAATACTTCGGGCGCATCAGCTACGCGCTCTACCTTATGCACGGGCCCGTCACGCATACGATCGGCTTCGTGGTGCAGAAGCGCGTCTGGGATTACACGACGACGGAGGGCTCCATGTATCGCTGGGGCTGCGTGCTCGCGGCCGTGGTCAACATCCCGCTCGTCATATGGGCTGCGGACGTCTTCTGGCGCGCCGTGGATGCGCCGACGGTTAGGTTCACGAAGTGGCTCGAGACGAAGCTGTCTATCGAGTAAGCCAAGGGGGAGGGGTTTATACGTACCAAGTGTGACGTGGAAAGGACCGCGGGGACGGGTTCGTTTTGGATTATGTGTAAATAGGTTATTGGGTATTTAATAAATTGGTTAGTAATAGAGCCTTGCTACTCGCTGAGTTTTGTCGTATTGATCCTTGCTCTCTTGGTCAGGTTACCTTGATGGATGGTTGTTGAATTTCATGTGCCCCCCACCCCGATGAGAATAAAAAAGAAGTCCAAGTATTTACGAGCCATATTACATATCATACGTCTTAATCAGGTCATCGAGCTACTCAATAGTGATTGGTACTTAGAGGTTAGAATGCTCTGAGTTAAAATACACAAATCCCTAAAGCATCATCTGTGCTCCATTACAACAGGTTAGGTATAGGTAGTTAGGTACCTACCTATACCTTCCTTGTTATGGCCTTTCTTCAAACACTTTTAAGAGCATTTGTATCTTGTCAAAAGAGTCGAAAATATAACTCTCGAGACATCCCCCTAGTTTCTTAAGAATATCGGTGAGCAAGTAATGACCAGCAAGACGAGGCATATAAGCAATATAGATACGTGGTATCCGGCAACGAGTCTTCGTGTTAGTTCATAAAAGTACCTATGTTCAAAACGTCTCGGCTGCGGTCAGATCCTCCGGGTAGGACGTCTTCCGTTCCTATGCAAAATCAGTAACGGCCTAACAGCGGCTAGTAGCAACTGAAGGTCATCTTCTCAGATGGAAATGCCCTGACTATTCGGAATATTAGTCGTCTCCTATTACAATCGGGGACGAATTATTAGCCAAATATGAATTTTGAATTACTAAAACATAAAGGTAACCAAGTATTTCCGCCGTTCATCACATCGGACAAGAAAACGTACATACATTAGGTTAGGTACCTATACGAGTCTCACTGGGCTGCGATTACTGGTTTCGTTCACGTGATCGTATATACACATTAGTAGTCCTGCATCACAACAACAATAACAGTAACGCGTAGGCCGTCGACGAAGACAACAAAACATAGAATTTTCGCGGGTACGAAACAAATGGGTTGTATTTTTTGTTGGTATTGATTTGACTTGGTTGACCTTGATCTATAGGAAAGCAAACGTAGCAAAAATTTCCGGGACGCCCTCTCTGGACAAACAACAAAAACCGATGTCAGCCATGGTGTGTGTGTGTGTCTGTAATCAACGCCTCAAAAATGCTTTGCCAGCGCTACCATGCGATGCTCCTCCCTATCCCTCTCCCATTCCAATACTAATTTGAACCCGTCAGTTTAACTCGTCAAGCGTCGTAGTCGGCGTGCTGTGTAATCTCGTATCCCTTATCCGACGATGGGGGGGAAAGCGGAGGAGTGAAGTGAAGTGAAGTGAAGTAGGCAGATCAAGAAAAATGTTTGGTGGTCTGTTCTCGATCAGTTATGCCGGCTTCTCTTCCCTTCTCTTCCGAACATGTCCTTTCCGAATGGTATATCGCCCACGTTGAATAGCTCCGCGAAGTTAATTGACCGCTTCTGACCAGCTCCCTTCCCGAGATGATTCGTAGGTTTCGGCCTGGGTCCCCGTTTGTTGGTGCGCGAGCGAGCCGGGTGAGGGATGGGAACTGCAGAAGAGCCCGGGGTAGAGCCGTCGTTCGTCCTAGTCGTGTCCGAAAGGTCCAGATTCTCCAAATTTAGGTATGGTTCTTGAGGGTACGGGTGCGACGCGCGAAAGGTGAAGGTGTCCTGCGTTGGAACGGTAATCATTTGTTGTTCGCCTATGGGAGAGTCGACGGTCGATTGATGTGCGGATGTGGGGAGAGACTCTTGTTGTAAGTGGGATTCGTTCCTCATCGTAGACAGATGCGCTTGGCTACCCGAGTGAATTTCCGGCGACGATATGGGGTCCGACTTTTCTACTTCGTCCTCGCTTTCGATCGCTTGGGGTGATATGTCTCGTCCGTCTAGACGTTCGGTCGCCCATTTCCGAACGAGCCAGCCTTCGCCATCGCTCACACCAATGTTGGACTTGTCGAGAAAGGCTAAGAGGTCATCAAGGCAATCTTGATAGCCATCTGCTCGGGCCTTTGTTTGGGCGGCGACGGATGTTTTGTAGAGCTTAGTGACGGATAATGCTGCGGCCTTGAAGGAATCAAGTAGTTGTTCAGGTGACTCACAACCCGCTGAGTTCTTAGCAGGCGAAGACCCCCTCAATGCATCCATTATGAGATTATGGAAAGTATGATGTTTGTCTGACCAACTGGCCGGGCTCGTTGTACCTTTTTTTTCTTTTTACGTAGATGGGCTCGAACTATAGGAAGTTGAATTTGGATTTTTGACGATAATATATTATTCGGTGGTGGATAGAATGGGATGGGAGGTAGTTAGTTTCAAAGGGTTCAAGATCGATCTTGTTTCTTTTTCTTCGTTGGGTTTGGTGGGGGTGTGGGTTAGTCGTTAGTCGGTGGGTCGAAGCCAGCAACAAATGGAAGATGCAGGTTACGTCGTATTGTTTCTACCAACTTTTGAAGACTTGTGATGAGCTTATTAGGGGGAAATCAAGGGAATGAAGCAGCGAAGCAACAAGGCAACGAAGCAACGAAGCAGCGAAGGAGGCGAGTAAGATTTCACAGTGGCAGATACAAATGGTAAGTATTGGTTGGTGTATTGATTTATTAGAGAGTCAGCAAGTTGGCGAAATGAGAAAATGGGAAGGAAAAATGAGAAATGCGAAATGCGAGATGCGAGATGCTACGTGTTGCAGTTGTTGTATGCAGTTCGGCCTTGTTACGTTAGGTACGTTCTTGTCCCTTGAGCCTTTGAGTCAGATGATTCCGGATTGATGATGAACAAGGTTAGGTATTGGTGGCTAAGTTACATAGGAGGTAGTAATAGTTAAGTTACCTACTTTAATAAAAAAAAGCCGTGGAGATAATCGGGTCTGGTTTGTCTGGCTAACTGGCTGACTGGCCGGCTGACTTGGGCCGTTGGACACCCGACCCGGACTAAACATTTAGAGTACTATGTTATGTAAGCATTTTCACAGGTAGATTAATAATTATCTCAGTAAACTCAGACCATAATTCAGATAACGGGCTTTGCCCGTGGGCGCCTCTTAAATGTATGGTCCGTGTATTTGTATTCATAAGTTTCTTTAATTTTTTATTTAAATTATAGTTTAAAGCTTAACGGGCGAAAAGTAAGTATGTTTAATAAATATATATATGTGACGAACCTACACTTAGGTCCGTTAGAGTGTAGTAACAGGGGTCTTGATTTTAGGTAAACAGTAGTAATATGAGTTAAGTGTTAATAAAATGTTAAAAGTGTTCATTAAGAAGGCTTAAAGTCCTTCCCCTTATATAGATTAAATATAAAATTTAGATTAATAATTAAAGAAACGTAAATAAATATTTAAATATATAATAATTTTAAATATCTTATAAACCTTTTCCTTATTTAATGTTTTTCTAAAGGTATTATAGATCTTATAATTTTTAAGGATCTTAAAGATCTTATGTTTCTTAATAAGATCTATAAGATTTATAAGATCCATAAGATCTATATATCTAAGGTTTAACCGAAAAGGTGTTGGTTAATATCCCTGTTTCTATATTAAGTATGACCTTATTGCTTATTAGTTCGTAATACCATTTCCCTCCTTTTAGGCCTCTTTATCCTTAAAGATCCCAATAAGTTCTTTTCTTCCATTCTCTTATTTTATTTGGTTTAATAAAACTGACTTTCTTTATAATATTAGGACGTATATTAAAAGCAACTTCTAAAACCCGTTATTAACTTAATTAAAAAGTTACTTATAAAATTTATATTATCTTTATTAAGTCTTTTAACTATTAAAAAATACCTTATTCTTATTATTTTCGTACGGGCAAAACCTTTTACTTCTTAATTACTAATTTTTTTATTTATAATTATTATATTTATAATAATAATTATTCAGGTTATAACATAATAAAAATGAATTCCTTAAATAATATATCCTTTAAATTATTTTATTTATATAATAAATATTATAAAGTTAAAGAAAAACTTCTTTAATTATATAAAGAAATTAAGGATTAATTAAATAAAATTTGCAAATATTATAATAAAATTTATAAATATTAGGTTAAAATCAATAATTATTAAAGAAAAATCAATTATTATTAAAATAATATATTAAATTATATTAAATATTTTAATTAACTTTGTTCCTAAGAAGAGGTTATAAAGGCAAAGGCTATTAAAATTATACATTATAAAATTAAATTTAAACATTTAAAAGAAAAAGAAGATAAAAATTAAGATATTTTTAATTAAATAGATCCTCTTAAGCTTTCTAATTCTTCCGGGGGTAACCTTAATAAGGCCATTATTTTTTAAGATAATTTTAACTTAAGGATTAACTTATTAACGTTCGTAAGTAATTAAGATTTTTTTAATAAAATATTTTCATAAGCTTTTAAACGTTCTTAAAATACTTAATTAATTCCTAAATATTTTCTTTTAATAAATAATCCTTCTATTTAATTAAATATTTAATTTAATTTTTAAATTGCTTAAAGTTTAATATCTTTTTAATTTTATATTCTTAATTAATTTTAACGTTTAAAGTAATTTATATTAAGGCATTTTTAAATGCTTTTTTTAATAAAGAAATATAAAATATTAAATATAACTTCGTTTTTATTAATAATAATAATTTATAATTAATTTCTAAAATAACTTTTTTAATTTTAAAAGGTTTAAGTTTTTTATAATTTAATTTATTACTTAGTTTTTTAATTTTAATATTTTATTATAATAAATAAACCTTATTTCCCTTCCTAAAAATTAATCTTTTAATTTTATATTAATTATTATATTTCTTTATTCTTATTTATAAAAATCTAAGTTTATTTATTAGATATTTTTATATAATAATAACTTATTCCGTTATAGCTTTTGCTTTAAAGATAAATGTTTCTTTTATATTAATTAATTTTATAATAATAAAATTGTAACTAATATTTATTTTAAATAGGGATATCTTTATATCTTTGTTTATAAAATTATTATATATAATTTTTACTTATAGTAATAATTCTACTTAATTATCTTATATTTTATTGATATATGTGTAAAGATATTATTTTAACGTTTAATTTAAATACTCTATTTGCTCATTTAATTATAAATAATATATTATTAATAATTTCTGTTTTACACCCATTTTTGTTATTAAACTAATCCAAAACTTAAATATAAATAACTTGTCTCTATTTGAAATAATATGTTCTAGTAATTCGTATTTACTAATTATATATTTAAAGAATATATAAATTAAATTTTTAACTGTATTAAATTTTTTATATAATATAAAATATCTATATTTTATTAACTTATTAACTATTACCTATATATTATTATATAATATATTAATTATAAGTTCTTTTAATAATAATAATTTAATAATAAAATCTTATGCGATGATTTTCCAGGCTTTGTCCGGGATTTCTATAAATTATATAAATCCATATAGCTTATATTTAATTACCTTCGTTTTATTATATATATTATAGTTATTAATTACTTCTTTAATTACTTTAGGTAAGCTTAAGAAGTTATAATCTTTTATAATTTATTACATAATTTGAAAGATTTTTTGATATTCGTATAATGGATGTTCATAGTATTTTTTAATAAACTTATGCTATAAGGTATTAAATATATATACCTTACTTAAATAAGTGATTATTCCTTTTTCTATTTTAATGTCCAAAGGTAATTTTTCTGTTAGTAATGCCTTTTAGATATATGTTATCTAAGTATTATCTTTTTTGGTAAAATATAATGCTAATAGCATAAGTACTTTTTATCTGTCTAATATAAGTACTGCTTTTTCTTCTATTATATCTTTTGTGCTGATACTGTTAGGTCTATTAAATGCATTTACTTATATATTTGCTTTTCTTATAATATAAATTATCTTAAAGTTAAAGTTGCTTAAGTATTTTATTTATTTTTAAACCTTAAATTTTAATTTTTAAATAATTATTAGCGTTTTAAAGTTATTATAATTAAATAATATTGTAATTAATTCTTTAATTCTACTAAATTAATATTTTTATTTTTTAAATATTATAATAATAGTAAGTAGTTCTTTATTATAAGTTTAATATTATATTTAAGTTCTTTTAAAGGTTTTGGATAAGTATGCCATTAAATGCCATATTTTATTATCTTTAAGTTATTTAAGGATTGCACTTATGGCCGCATTTAATCCGTTTATATGGATTTATTTTGGCTAATTTGGTTTAAATAATTTTATTATTAAATCGCTAATAATAACTTTTTATATTTTTTTAAAAACTTTATTTACTTTTAGCATCCATTAAAAAGTTCTTTCTTTTCTTTATATAATAATTATAATAAGATTTATGATTTTATTAAAATCCTTTATTAATTATTTGCTATAATTAGTAAAGTTGTGGAACTGTTATACAATAATAATATTATTTAATGTTAGTTAATTTTATATTATTGCGATTTTTAAGTTTTATATTTTAATTTATTTAAATATAATAATATACCTTAAATAATCGATCTTTTATATATAAAATTCATTTTTTTCTAGATTTATTAGTAGATTAATCTTATTTAAAACTTTTAATATTTTGTTTATATATTTTTCGTATTAGTTAAGGGTTTCGAAGAAGATTAGGATATTATTTAAATAAATAAAAACTGTTTTTCTTAAAAATTTCCGTAATACGGTTTCAATTATTCCCTAAAATATTATTAATGTATTTATAAATCCAAATGGTATAATCAGATATTTATAATAATTAAAAGAAGTTTATATTATTGTTTTCCATTTGTTACCTTTAACTATTTAAATTAAATAAAATATCTTTTTAAGGTCTAAAATTGTAAACTATTTTATGTTTTTTATTATTTTTATTAAGTTGTTAATATTAAGTAAAGGGTAATTATTTTATTTAATAATAGAATTAAGGTATTAATAATTATATATATTTTTATATATTATATTTCTATTTTTATTTAATTTTAATATTTTATCTTTATTCTTTTTGGATATTAAAAAGATTAGGCTCTTTATTAATAAATCTAATTTTTATATATATCCTTTTTCGAGCTTTTGTTTGATGATTTTTATTAGTACTTTTTATTTATTTATATTTAATAAATATACTTTATTTAATTTGGGTAATTATTTTTCTTTAAGGTTTATTTTATAATTATAAAGTTTATAATTTAAGACTTTTATATTAGTATTTGGTTTTTTAGTAAATAATTTTAGGTATTTCTTTTAATATTTTTTAGGTATATTAATAAGTTTATTATATATTATTTTAATTTTTCTTTTAATTATTTTTTATTATTTTATTTCCTTAATTAATTTTATAAGTTATAATATATATAAAGGTATTATTTTATAGGCTTTTTCGAA